CTCTGCTGAGCAGGGAGCCTGACGTGGGGCTTCATCCCAGGACCCCAGGATCATGACCTGAGCTGAAGGCGGACACTTAACTGACTGAGCCACCCAGGCGCCCCGTGTTTTATAATTTTTGATTGTATGTTGGACATTATGGATGGAAAATTCTGGAGGCTTTGGTATTGTTACCTTCTTCCAAAGAGGGTTATTTTATCTTCTGGGAGACAGATAATTTTGGAGGATCACCTAAATCTGCCACGGGTTAGTTTTATGCTATGTTAAGTCTAGTTTGTTTCCACTTTCTTTGTTTCTTTTCTTTTTTTTTTTTTTTTAAAGATTTTATTTATTTATTTGACAGAGAGAGACACAGCGAGAGAGGGAACACAAGCAAGGGGAGCGGGAGAGGGAGAAGCAGGCTTCCCGTGTAGCAGGGAGGCTGATGCGGGGCTTGATCCCAGGACCCTGGGACCATGACCTGAGCCAAAGGCAGACGCATAATGACTGAGCCACCCAGGCGCCCCTTGTTTCCACTTTCTACTTACTCCTAGATTGTGGCCTGTATCCCTAGTGGGTGGCTCTTCTGAGGTTTCAACACTGCTAAGAAATCTTGCTGTAGTGTTTTTGAAGACCTTTACCTCCTTTTCACGACACGAACTACAACCTCTTTCTCCCCAGAGGTGTGGAGTGAGAATCTTCTGCCTCCTAGCCACTCTCCTGCTGTGTTTCTTGGGGTTCCATCCTGTTCATGCACAGCTTAAGGGTCTGCTAAGGTCTTCAGAGGAGCTTGAACAGAAACTTTTTCGGCTCATTTTTCCTTGGTTTTCTCTTCTGCAGAGTTTTTTTTTTTTTTTTTTTTAAAGATTTTATTTATTTATTTGACACAGAGATAGAGAGAGAGAGAGAGAGGGAGAGAGCACAAGCAGGGGGAGCGGCAGGCAGAGGGAGAAGCAGGCTTCCTGCATGAGCAGGGAGCCCTATGTGGGGCTCGATCCCAGGACCCTGGGATCATGACCTGAGCTGAAGGCAGCGGTTTAACCAACTGAGCCACCCAGGCGCCCCTCTTTTTTTTTTTTTTTTAGTATTTATTTGAGAGAGCGTATGCATATGCATGTGAGTGGGGTGGGGGGAGGGGAGAGGGAGAGAATCTCAAGCAGACTCCCTGCCAAGCACGGAGCTAGCCGGGGGCCTTGATCCCACAACCCTGGAGATCAGGACCTGAACCGAAATCAAGAGTCAGACGTCTAACCTAACTCTGCAGAGTTTTATCCTTCAGTCTCAGCTGCTTCGGCAGCTCCAAATGTCTGGCTTCTTATGCTAGCAAGACCACTGTGTTCAGCTTGGGTCCTCCTTAATGAGCTTCCCTTCTCTAAAAGATTCCAACTCCTTAAATCCTTTCCGTGAGGGTTCTTCAGTGGCTTCAGACTGCTTTATATATATATTTTTCCACTTTTATGTGCAGTTGACCCTTGAACAGAGCGGGGGGGGTTGGGGCTCTGTGCCCCATACGCAGTTGGAGATCCACATACAACTTTTGACTCCCCTAAAACAGCCTACTGTTGACCAGAAGCCTTACCAATAATACAGTTGATTAAGTTATGTGTCATGTATACTCTGTCCTTACAGTAAAGTAAGCTAGAAAAAAGAAAATGTTAGGAACATCATAAGGAAGAGAAATGCATTCACAGTACTGTGCTGTATTTATTGAAAAAAATCCACATATAAGTGGACCTGCATAGTTCAAACCTGTGTTACCCCAGGGTCAGTTGTAGTCTTATATAGTTTTACAGTTGTTTCTGGTGGGAAGGTTTTATCTGTTAAAAAATACATTGTTGTGGCCAGAACCTGAGATTCTGGGTGTGTGCTTGACCCGGCTGTTGAGCAACTCTGGTGGTCTAGATATTGCAGAACCCACTGTATTTTCACTCACTTCATCCACTTTACAGTATATTTACAGTACATTTTACTTTCAGTTTATTGGTTGCATCATTAGATCTACTTTTCAGGGAATATCTTGTTTTAGGCCACCTTCCATCTTTCTCTTGGAAGGAAAAATTAGATTTTCTTCTGTATCTTTTCCAGCCTGATCTTTATAGAGTGGCTTCCTTCTTTTAATGTTTTAATTTCAGCTCTTTAGAATTCATAGAGTCAGTGGTATCCCAGTATTTTAGAAGATAAAGGATTAATTCTAAAACAGTATAGCAAATAGTTGAATTATCTGTTCTTTTTTGGATTGTTTGTGTAGTGTGTTGGAATTTGAATGTATTAGATTTTCCTTCAGACATACATTCCCTAATAAAAACTCAGCATTAAAATCAGACATCAGCAGGGCTCCTGGGTGGCTCAGTCGTTAGGTGTCTGCCTTCCTCTCAGGGCATGATCTCAGGGTCCTGGGTGCCTACCGCTCAGGTCATGATCCCAGGGTCCTGGGATCGAGCCCCGCATCGGGCTCCCTGCTCTGCAGGAAGCCTGCTTCTCCCTCTCCCACTCCCCCTGCTTGTGTTCCCTCTCTAGCTGTGTCTCTCTCTGTCAAATAAATAAATAAAATCTTTAAAAAAAAATAAAATCAGGCATCAGAGGAGAAATAGGTGTGATGTAATTTAGACACTGGGATGGTTTAACCCCACTTTGATTGCATGTTTTTAAGATGGCTATTCTAAATGGAATTATGCTAACTGTAATGATTTTTCCATGAAAAATATTTAAATTTTATGATAAGCTTTCTTCACAATTCATTTAAATGTTTTTTTTTAAAGATTTTATTTATTTGAGAGAGAGAGAATGAGAGATAGCACGAGAGGGAAGAGGGTCAGAGGGAGAAGCAGACTCCCTGCTGAGCAGGGAGCCCGATGTGGGACTCGATCCCGGGACTCCAGGATCATGACCTGAGCCGAAGGCAGTCGCTTAACCAACTGAGTCACCCAGGCGCCCTTAAATAATTTTTATGTTTCATTTTTTTATAGTATTTTTAGTGGGGCTAAGTGTTTCTCAGTGTGTATCTTAAAGCATTGCTACTCCAAAGTGTGGTCTAAGAACCAGTGCCAGTTTGAGAACTGGTTTGAAACAAAATTATTTATGGAAACTGAGAGTAAAAGTTTAGAAACTTTATAACATTTGACACGATGGCTACATTCTTTTTTTTTTTTTTTTTTTTTTTTAGGACTTTATTTATTTGAGAGAGAGAGAGAAAGAGAGAGAGGGAGAGCACAGGCAGGGGGCCTGATGCGTGACTCCATCCCAGGACGCTAGGATCATGACCTGAGCCGAAGGCAGACGCTTAACCCACTAAGCCACCCAGGCGCCCCCTGATGGCTACATTCTTAATTTTATTTTATAAAAATACAAGTCTAGGGCATCTGGGTGACTCAGTGGTGAGGTGAGAAGAAAGGTTTGGGGAAAAGATAATGTATACAAAGGACTTTAGGGAGTCTTGGTGTGTATTACGCTGTGTAATTCCCCTTTTGCTGCTTTCTCAAAAAAAAAAGGTAGTAAAGAGCTTTGTCATTATTAGAACTTTGGGAGGTTTTATGTTTCTTGTAGGTGTCATCTTGTGGGTTGTACCTCGAAGCAGTGCATTTGATTTAGGCGACATGACTGTAAGATGTGCATGTTTGAATTCTTCCTTTTCTTTTTGTTCTTAAAAAATCATTATCAGAAAAATTTTCCATATCGTTAAAAGCTCTTTGTAGATATTTTTACTTGTTTCCCCCTATTGCTTAAAAAGACCATTAAAAAAAAAAGTTTTATTTAAGTAATTTCTACACCCAATGTGGGGCTTGAACCCACAACCCCAAGATCAAGAGTTGCACGCTCTACTGATTGAGCCGGCCAGGCGCCCCTAAAAAGACAAGTTTTAATGGCTCTGTTGCAGTCCAGTGTATGGATGTACTAGTGTTCATTTTACCCTTCCTGGAATATCGGACATTTAGGAGATTTTCATCTTCTTGCTAAAATAATTAACGTTGCAATGAGTAATGTGATTATTAGTCTCTGCACATCTAATTGTTTCCTTAAGAACAAGAATTACTGGATTGAGAGTTGTACACATTGATCAAATTCTTGGTGTGTGTTCACAAGTGCAGAAGCAGTTGTTTGAAGTCACTACTTTTCACTGTTTAGATAATGTCGGGATGTGGCTTGAAGGTCACAAAATCTTTTCACCAGAGAAGGTCATCTTCATGTTCATCCACTCTAATCCTTGTTTTCAGAGGAGAGCAGGCCTTAAAGCTTTGGAAGGATGAGAACCTCATTTTGGTATTACATGATAATCTATTTCAAGACTTAACAGATTCTAATAATCGAGAAGTTTTTCCTTTTGTCTGGTTATATATGTGCTTTCTTCTTATAGAATAGAGAGAACTTTGTCCTCCCCTCCCCTTTTTTGGTACAGTTCAGAGTGAATTTTTTATCCTTTGCTCCTTGTTTTTCTCTCTTGTAGACTGAACAGAATAATGATAACGACAAGTTGCATTGTATAATGTTTCACTGGTATAAAGCCCTTTGGTTTATATTATGTCACTTAAGCTGCATGGCGTCCCTGATAGGCAGATATCTGTATTTGCAAAGGAAGAAAATGAGACTCTTTCCGAGGTTGCCCAGAACTGAGACACAAAGCCGGGGTTTCTGCCATATCATCTGGGCTCTGCAGGGTAGTAAGTAGGAGTGTGGATGCTGGGGCTAGAGAACAAGGCTTCAGAGCATGGCTCTGTCATTACTGGCTCTTGGGAAAGTTTCTTAATCTCTCTGCCTCAGTTTCTTCATCTGTATACAGTGGGAAAAGTAATAGTTCGGCTTCCTAGGGTTGTTCGGAGCAGTAGGTCAGTGCGCGTCGTCGTGTACAGGACCGGTGGCAGTGGAGTGAGCGCGCCGCCCCGCGCACCCGCCCTGGCGCCACCGCGCAGGCTGCTTTCATTTTCGAGGCCAGCCGGCTGGCGGCCTATTCTTACCGTTGGCCTGTTGGGGTAAGTTATGGGAGCAGTGGTTTGGAGAATCTGTTGATGTTCTTGGTTTATTTGCAGAAGAACAAGGCGGTGAAGAAAGTGAGAAAAGGCGAAAAAAGAGAAAGGGCACCAAGAGGAAGCGGGACGGACGGGGTCCAGAGGGAGGGGCGTGGGCTTGCGACCTGAAGCTGGACGACGCGCTGGACCGCACGCTGGAGGACGGCGCCAAGCAGCACAACCTGACTGCGGTCAACGTGCGCAACATCCTCCACGTGAGTACCACGGCGGCCGGAAGGCTTCCCAGAAAGCAAGTACAGACCCTCAGGGAATTCTTGGTTCTTGGTATGTGAATTACTAACTTTGGGAGTTGCGCGGGCCACAGCGCTTGACATTTCAGGACGGCTTCCCCGTTGCCCTCAGCACACGTTTGAAATCCGAACGCACATTTAAAAAGACCTGGGCAAGTAAACTGTTCCTCTCCTCCTCCACTGCCTTGCTGGTTTATCGTCTTATTTGGCACATTTGGAGATGATAATGTTCGCAGTGGACTTCCTCTTCCGTGGGTCGATAGGTCTGGAGAGCTGCCAGGGGAACAGTTTATGCTGCACATGCGCTGGTCCTGTTCTTCCAGATGTATCGACACAGCTGTTTACAGAACCTTCCTTGCTGGTTACTGGTCTCAGAAGCGTAGAGTCAGTTACCCACACTCTCTGTTCCTGCCTCTGGTTACTGTGGCGTCGCGCATCCCTCCTCTATTAGGATTTGAACCTGGGTGTTTCTGGCCAACGCTGGCTTTACCCCAACCGGAAGCCATTTCAGTATCTAGCAGAGTTAAGAAGCGGCTGTTTTCTAGGTCACACGTCTTTGCTGCATAAAGTGAAATTTCATCTTTCTCCAGGAAGTAATCACAAATGAGCATGTGGTAGCTATGATGAAAGCAGCCATCAGTGAGACGGAAGACATGCCAATGTTTGTGAGTAGTTGATTGTTTCTCTTGAATGCTGTGGAACAGAGCTACTGTAAATGGGCAAGTGCAGGAGGTCGCTTGGGAGTTTGTAAATAGCTTGTTATTGGGGGTAGAGTTAGCATTTCAAAACCCAAGATTCACATGATAATTTTTATTGACTGTTTTCTTCTCATTTTCCCTGCCTCAGGAGCCCAAAATGACACGCTCTAAACTGAAGGAAGTGGTGGAAAAAGGAGTGGTGGGTGTTCTGTTTTTGTTTTTTTTTTTTTTTCCTTTAGTTTGGTAAATAAGGTCTAATTCCAGGTTATTTGCAGGGGAAAAAAAATATAGGAAAGAATTATCATGGTCTGGGTTTGCCTCCTTCCGAGAAATATCTGAAAAGATAAGTGGAGACAACATTCAGAGTCCTTATCATCGGTTTATTTCCGTTGACATGGAAGTACTGCTGTTTGGGGCGTAATCGGTAGACAACCATTAGCACGGCTGGAAGCACTGAGCAGGGGCAGCCTTTCTATTCATGGGGTACGTGGCAAAGGGTCGAGAGGAGTATTTTTCCAGGTGTGTCCCAGGGAGCACTGCATCAGGTCACCCTGCTGTGGGGTCCCTCACGAGTGCTTACTGAAAAATGCATGTTCAATGGCTTACCTCAGACCCAGAATAGGGACCCAGGAGCGGGGCCTGGGAATAAGCATTATTGGAAACAGCAGTTGGTTGTTTTGCACACACTGAGGAATGAGAGCCACTCGAAGGCTTCTGGAGGATTCTGGCACAGATGCTGGGACCCATTTATTTCCTGCTCAACAAGCATCTGTCCAGTCTGTGCTCAGCGTCTGTTACAGGCAGGCGATGGTCCTGTGGCGGTCTGTTTTGTGTCTGATAGTGAGGAAGATTTGCCTAACGGACCCAAAATGCATGTTGTTGTTTTTGTCCTTTTGTCCGGGTCTATTCTTCGCAGCCCCGTAGATGAAATAAGCCTGCTCTTCTTCCACATGACCTTTCCTCTGGTAGGAGAAAACTAGTACGTCTTTCTGTAATATTCTTTTGTTGCTAAATGTCCCCTAATTTTTTATTGGTCTTCATGTGACAAGACTTTGAGTACATTTACCAATGTGATCCTTTTCTTCCGAATGTGCCTGCTTTGTCCATATCCTTTGAAGAGTGTGCCTGACGTGGAATTCCTGCTCCAGATGTGGTTTTACTGTATGGAATGAAGTTAAGGATCCCTTTAGTGTCCCACACACCATATTTCTCTCAGTGCAGCCTAGGACCGCATTGGCTTTTTTTTTTTTTTTTTTTAAATATTTTATTCATTTATTTGAGAGAGAGAATGAGAGAGAGCACGAGAGGGAAGAGGGTCAGAGGGAGAAGCAGACTCCCCGCCGAGCAGGGAGCCCGATGTGGGACTCGATCCCGGGACTCCAGGATCATGACCTGAGCCGAAGGCAGTTGCTTAACCAACTGAGCCACCCAGGCGCCCCACCGCATTGGCTTTTTTTGACAGCCACATCGTATTCTTTTGTCTAGTGGGCTAAGCCTGGTTGCGTAAAGTTAAATTTCATCTTTCTCCAGGAATTACATAATCATCACAAATGCTCATATGTGGTAGCTATGATGAAAGCAGCCATCAGTGAGATGGGGTTGTATGAAGTCTCCTGACACACAGAGTATAAGTAACAGTAATTCCATATTTGGTCTGGAAACAAAGAGATCCTGATCAGGCTCTGGATTGTATTTACCAACCATGAATAAATGCAGAGATGTTGGACGAGCCAAGACTACAGTTTACGTGGGAGAGCAGGGATTGAAGCCCAAGGCTCTTGCTTTGTTCGTGCTCAGTAGGTGGCTTTAGCATGCTCCCAGGCGCTGCTCGCTTTCCTGGTGGGTTCGGTGGTAGGGAACCTAAGAGAAGCGGTGTGGACCTGTATCACATCATTCCCTTCATCCTGTATCAGGCCTGGCTCGACAGATAAGTGGCCGGAACGTGGCAGGGCGAAGGACATGTGGCGAGCCTAAGGCTCCTTGTGAAGACAGAACCCAGTGGCCTGTTGGATTCTATTCATAACATGATTCATTGGGTCACCTTAAATGACCAAGAAATTATACACTCCAGCGGCACTTTTTGTCAGCAGCATGTAAAAGCCTTAAAAAAATTCTTTAAAAACATCTCGCCCCAGCTCTGTTATTTTATTATTTATTTACTATTTTAAAAAAAAAGATTTTACTTATTTATTTGACAGAGAGAGCACGCGTGCAGCAGAGGGAGAGGGAGAAGCAGGCTCCCCTCGGAGCAGGGAGCCCAGCATGGGTCTGGATCCCAGGACCCTGAGATCATGACCTGAGCTGAATTCAGATGCTTAGCTGACTGAGTCACCCAGGTGTCCCCCAACTCTGTTATTGTAAAAACACATAAGAAGTTGATGTAATTTTGCAGTGAATCTATGTTCCATTTCGATTTAACAGCGGTAAAATTTTGCCATATTTGGTTTGTATCTATATCTATCCCTTGTTTTTTTTTGAAGATTTTGTTGATTTGACAGAGAGATAGCGAGAGCAGGAACACAAGCGGGGGAGAGGGAGAAGCAGGCCTCCCGCGGAGCAGGGAGCCCGATGTGGGGCTCGATCCCAGGACCCTGGGACCATGACCTGAGCCGAAGGCAGACGCTTAACGACTGAGCCACCCAGGCGCCCCTATCCCTTGTTTTTTTCCTGTACTATTTGAAAATCAGTTGGGGACAACTTGATACTTCACCCCTAAATACTTCCATAAGAACTGGTCATGGCTGGCTGTCAGCATGCATACTATGGTGGACTTATGTAATTGATTAAAAAAATACTGACGCCCGAAGGTTACGATTACCTATATCTTAGGTGTGTGTACTATTATAGTTTCAAATTCATTGTTCCATGTGAACACAAGTTGTGATATGAAGTAGGCAAGACAGGGGAACCTGGCTGGCTCTGTCGGTAGAGTGTGTGACTTGATCTTGGGGTTGTGAGTTTGAGCCCCATGGTGGGGGTAGAGTTTACTTAAAAAAATAATAATAAAGTAGGTAAGACAGATACTTTATTTATAGATAACACAGAGTCTTAACTGGCTTTAAGGCACAAATGCTAATGATGGAAATAGACTCTTCTCTCCTTTTCTTCTGGCAAATTCTGACAGATACTTGAGAGTGTCCCCTCAGGGATAATTAATACCCCTCCATCACTGCAGCTGCCTATTAGGTTCATGGCTCTTTGTGATGGTGAAGAGGAAGTAAAAATGAAAACCCATCTATTTCAGTTAAGAGAACGTAATTATTTATATTCTTTGTTGGTAGGTAATTCCAACGTGGAATATTTCACCAATTAAGAAGGCCAATGAAATTAAGGTAAACTTTGGAAGAGGTAATTCTTATTCTTTTCCAGAAAGACTTCATCAGTTTTGAAACCTATACCTCCTTTCTATTTGTTAATTCTGGGGGGATCTGTCTTGTTTTACTTCGATCTTTGTGTTTTCCTTTCCATTCCTCTTAGGTTTGACTCCCATGGTCTTTTTTTTTTTTTTTAAGATTTTATTTATTTATTTGGAGAGAGAGAGAGCGTGAGAGGGGGGAAGGTCAGATGGAGAAGCAGACTCCCCGCTGAGCAGGGAGCCCGATGTGGGACTTGATCCCGGGAGTCCGGGATCATGACCTGAGCTGAAGGCAGTTGCTCAACCAACCGAGCCACCCAGGCACCCGACTCCCATGGTCTCTTTAAGCCTCTGACTACTTGCTTTAGCTGCTCATTGTGCTCCTAGGATTTATTTCTTCCTGCTCCGCTTTCTTCCTCTTATTTTCCAAATGCATATGGTTGTGTTTCCTGTTACTTCGTTTCTCTCTGTGACTGTACTTATGCAGCCCCCCCAGTTCGTGGACATCCACCTGGAAGATGATGACTCCTCAGATGAGGAGTACCAGCCGGACGACGAGGAGGAGGACGAGACGGCTGAAGAGGTCAGTGGCTTCCTTGTGAGTGTGAGTGGCCGGTGGGGAAGAGCCGGCTTCCGGAAGGCTCCTGTAGGCAGAATCAAGACAGCGTTCTTCCTGCTCACTTCCTTGCATAGAACCGGGACTGAGAGCTGTTTTCTCCTCTTCATACTCCCTTAATGTTTCCATGTTGTATATTATGAAATAGAACGCACGTGGAACACACAGAACAAAAACTTAAAAATACAGCTTAAATCATTATCAGGCCGATGGTCATGAAGCATCCTCCAAGGTCCTTAAACGCAGTGTGGCCAGCACACCCCTTGTACTCTTTTCTATAAAGTTCTGTCACCTGTGTATGCGGCATGACACACCCTAGTCCTGTTTTGTACCGGTTCTGAACCTTACCTAGTGGACAGTTTGGCTTTTTGTTTCCTTTGTGTCATCGTTCATCCTTTGTGGTTCGTCGACACTGTTGATCATGGCTGCACTTCGCTCATTTTCATTGCTGGGCGACGCTCTGTTTCTCAGTGTATTTGACTTGTTTGTAAAAGGATTTTAAACCATTGTCTTTCTTGCACTTCTGATGACGAGGGCAATCTGATCTCTGTGCTCACCTCAGAATATTCAACTTCTATTTAAGTTTTATTTTCTCTTACTTTGACTAAATTGGTTCATTTTCTTGAGGTATTTCAGACTCAGCCGGGAATGAGGCAGGAGCAGAAACGGAGACCTGAACCGGATTTGTTTTTTAGAGTTTGTTGGAAAGTGATGTTGAAAGCACCGCTTCATCTCCACGGGGCGCGAAGAAGTCCAGGTTGAGGCAGTCTTCCGAGATGACCGAGACTGATGAGGAGGGTGGCCTGCTGTCAGAGGTGAGTCCGCTTCGTGCAGAGGGGGTGGGGGAGAGGTGACTGCAGTAGGCTGGCCGTGCGTGGGGATGCCGAGCTGTCACCTTTCCCGAACAGGATTCAAGATCACTATTAATGCCAAAACCTTCCTGGTCCTTGTGGCTGGTTACAGCTGTTCAGGTTTCTAAGTCCTTGAAGTTGGGGTGCCTGGGTGGCGCAGTCGGTAAAGTGTCTGACTCTTGGTTTCAGCTCGAGTCGTGAGCTCAGGGTCGTGAGATCGAGGCTACGTCAGGCTCTGTGCTCAGCACCGAGCCTCTTGAGATTCTCTCTCCCCCCTGCCCCTCCCCCCGCTCTTGCGTGTGTTCACTCTCCATAAGTAAATAAATTAAATAAAAAACCCAAAACACAACAAAGTCCTTTAAGTGAGTGAATGGTTGACAGGAAAAGTGGAACTCCTCAGAGGGAGAGTGCTTTTCTGAGTTCTCACTGAGGGGCCAACTACGAGTGATGAGTGGTTTTTTTTGTACCTTTGTCTTCTTTCTTATATTGTCCTGACGCCCTTTTTCTTAGAGTTCCCACTCTTGGTAACCTAAGTAGCATCCTATTGGCTACACTGGAAATAGGATGGAACCTAATTAGATGAATATATTTGACAGTGCCTCTTGTTTTTCTGGAGCACTGTCTGGATGGGAAGATGAAGATCCCTGGTGTAGGAAAGTTGTGCTCCCTTCCCCTGGCTTCTTCCTTTTTTTTTTTTTTTTCCTTTTTTCCCCTTCCTTCTCTTTCTCCTCTCCTCCCTCCCTCCCTTTCATTTTTTAACATAGTTGCCTCTTTTAATCAGGCTGAGAAAGTCACCACACCTGCCGTCAGGCACATCAGTGCTGAGGTAGTGCCCATGGGGCCCCCGCCCCCCCCAAAGCCCAAGCAGACCAGGGACAGTACTTTCATGGAGAAGTTGCATGCAGTAGATGAGGAGCTGGCTTCCAGTCCCGTCTGCATGGACTCTTTCCAGGTAAACTGTATAACTAAATCACTGCGAAAGTCAAATGGAGGAATGTCGTTGTTACTCAGGCTGGGAAGGGAGACGGGAAGATACTAAATTCGGGTAAATAAGTAAGAGTCGTGGAAATGCAGGTCTTTGATACTCTGGTTTGTGCTGTTTTATTTTGAGAATTGCAGCTCCTGGGGAAGGAGTAAGGTACATGATGGGTAGCATTTTAAATGTGGAACACAGGAACAGCCTTCCGCCGGGTCCCCTAGATTGCAGCCTTTAGCTCAGTTGCTTTATCGTTCCTGTCCACTTTCTCTCTCTGCACACGTACTTGGTTACCGGAATCACTTTACAGTATGTTGCAGGCATGATGCTCTTTCACCCCTAAACACTTTAGCGTTTATTTTCTAAAAATGAGGACATTCAGTTATGAAAAGAAGTCATATTATCTAATCTAGTAAAGTCCTTTTTTAGATTTTTACCAGTTGTCCCAATAGTGCCCTTTCTAGAAAAAGAAACATTTTCTCCTGATGCAGGACCCAGTCCAGGACCACACATAGGGTCTTGTCTCCTAGCATGTTTTATTTTTTGTTTGTTTGTTTTTAAGTAATCTCTGCGCTCAGTGCAGGGCTTGAACTCATGGCCCCGAGATCAGGAGTCGCATGCTGTTCTGAGTGAGTGGGCCAGGGGCCCCTTGTAGCATCATTTAATTTGGAAGTTTCTCAGTATTTGTCTTTCATAACCTTGACATTTTTGACCTGTATAGACTATTATTTTACAGAATGTTCCTCAACTTAGATTTTTCTATTTCCCCATAATTAGATTCAGGTTATGCACTTTTGGCACAAACACCACAGAATCGACATGTCCTTCCAGTGCATCGTGTCAGGAGGCGCGTGACATCTGTTGTGTGAATTGGGATCACGTGGTTATGCTGATGTCTGCTTGATTTCCTCATTATAAGGCTATTTTTCCATTGTTAAATTCACTAATATGTATCTTAAGGGGATATACTTTGAGGCCAAACATCTTTTTTGCCCAGTAATTTTAGCATCCATTGCTTATTCTTGCTTGAAAAGTCACGACTCTGGTCACTGTCAGTTGACGACTCTCTAAATCCCACCATTTAGCCAGTTCATTTGAATGTTTCGGGTTTTCTCCACCAGTCTTGTAGGTTAATGAAAAATATGTCTGTCCGAAAATTTAAAAAGAAAATATTGAGTGGAACGCCCCTGAAAGGGCCATTTAATCTAATCACCCTGCTCTGTGGTGAGTAAAAAGTGTGAGGGGGGTAATAGTGTTTTGTATGACCATTTATTCATACACATAGCGAATGATGGAAGTTGGGGAATAGCAAAGGTGCAAGACAGAAAGGTCTTTCCTCCTGGAGAGAGAGATGCCATAAACAAACGACTTCAAGTAGTGGTAAGTGCTATGAACGAAATAAAAGTGGAGAAGTCAGGTCACGCCCCCCAGAGTGCTTCCACTGGATCACCAGAAGCAGCCTCCATGGGCGCCTGACTGGTTCAGTCAGTGGAGCACCTGACTCTTGGTCTTGGGGTTGTGAGTTTGAGCCCCATGTTGGTTGTAGAAATTATTTAAAAATAAAATCTTAACAAAAAAAAAAGGCCTCCTTGAGGAGGTGACATTTGGGCTGAGTTCTGAATTAGAAGGAGCCATGCAGACCCATGGTCTGGGGAAAAGTGTCCCGTACAGGGGAAGCAGCACATTCACAGTCCCCGAGATGGGAACAGCTTTGACGTGTGTAAGAGACAGAAACGAGCTGAAGCCCGGGGACCGTGGAGAGAAGCGTAGGAGTGAGGACAGAGAGCTGGGCAGGAACTAGGTCATGAGGGTCTTGGAAACGTGATAAGGAGTTTAGATTTTATATTCACATTTGAAAATCTTCGTGTGATGTTTTCTGATTGATGTTAAACACTTCCCTTTGGTTAAGGTGTGGGCAGCACTCTGTAGGAGAGTGAGGGAGAAACAGTCATCCAGGGAGGATGTCCTGAAGTCCCTGTCCAAATCCCAGCTGCTGCTTTTTGGGGGGGGGCAGAAATTGATAGGCTCATCCTGAAATTTACATGGAGATGCAAGGGACCCAGAATAGCTAAAACAATCTTGAAAAAACAAGTTGGAGGTCTACACTTCCTGATTTCAAAATTTATTACAAAGCTACAGTAATCAGTCAACACAGGTTGGTAGTGGCATAAGAATAGTCCTATGGATCAATGGAATAGAATCAAGAGTCCAGAAATAAATCCTTACATTTATGGTCAGCTGATTTTTGACAAGTATGCCAAGACCAGTAGTGGTGCCAGAGTGGTGTTTTCAAGCAGATGGTGTTGGGACAACCGGAACTCCACATCCAAACGTATGCAGTACCCTTACCTCATACCAGATAGAGAACTTAATGCTAAATAGATCATTGACCTAAATATGAGAGCTAAAAGTATAAAACTCTTAGAGGAAAACATAGGAGGAACGGGCCTTGTATCCATAATGTATAATGAGCTCTTAGAACCCAACAATGAAAAGACAACCCAATTCAAAAATGAGCAAAGGCTATGAATAGATCGTTCTCTGAAGAAGACATACACGTGGCCAGGAAGCCCGTGAAAAGATGCTCAACATCATTAGTCATTAGGAAATTGCAAATGAAGAGTACAAGATACCACTTCCCATCCACCAGGTTATAATAGAAAGGATGGACAGTAACGAGTATTGTCAGGGATGTGGAGGAGTGTAGAACCCTCACATGCTGCTGATGGGAATGTGAAATGTGCAGCCACTTGGGAAGATGGTTCGGTGGGTCGTCAGAAAGTTAAACATAGTTACTGTATGGCTCCAGGAGAATTGAAAACATATATCCAAGTAAAAACAAGTACACAAATGTTCTTGTTGGCATTACTCATAATAAACTTTCCCGAAGTGGAAACAACACAGGTTTTCCCTCAGCTGATAAATGGACACCGAGGTGTAGGTGAGGTGTAGATGGGGTATCGTTACGCAGTGAGAAGGAATGAGGCACTGACGCACGCCACACATGGATGAACTCTGAGAAGGTCATGCTAAGTAAATAGCCAGAGACAAAAGGCCACATACTGCAGGATTCCACGTACGTAACGTGTCCAGCCTAAGCAAATCCACAGACACAGAAAGTAGATGAGTGGTTGTCAGGGACGGGGAGCAGGGGAGGATGGGAACGCCTACCCACAGGATTGGGGTTTTTGTTAGGGACGCAGAAAATGTTCTGGGATTAGATGCTGGTGATGGCCCCACAGTTCTGTGAATACAGTAAAATGCACTCAGTTACACACTTCTAAAGGATGAATATTATGGTTTGTAAATTGTATCTTAGTAAAGCCGCTATAGATGTTTCTGAAATGTTGGTTTTAAAACTGACATCATTGTCCTTAAAGTTTCTCAAAGAATAAGAAACCCAAGTTGTGTGGGGAAGAGACCTTGTGACTGAAGGCAGGAAGAGAAGGGTGCATGTCCGAGGAGGCCCGAGGGGGTCTGAGGAGGTCTGGAGAGTCGGGGAGCACCAGGCGCTGAGTGAGTCGTGTTATCCTTTCTCTGTCCGCCAGCCCATGGACGACAGCCTCATTGCCTTCCGCACCCGCTCCAAGATGCCCCTGAAAGACATTCCCCTGGGGCAGCTAGAGGCGGCGCTGCGGGCTCCGGACATCACCCCAGACATGTATGACCCCAATACAGCTGACGACGAGGACTGGAAGGTGTGGCTAGGGGGGCTCATGAATGATGATGTGGGAAATGAGGGTAAGTGGGGTCCTTGGCATTTTCTACCTACTCTGTCCGTTATCTCTGTGCTAAAATTTTCATTGGTTAGAAGCTTAAAGGAAGGGGGTGTTTTTGGTTAACTGAATTTAATTGTATGTCACTCAGAATTTACTGTCAGTCAGTAGTTAAGGCCCCCTTTTTGGGTGAAGAATCTTTGAGGACAGTTGGCACGTGTTATACTGGCTTCCGGCGTGTGACACCTGACGAGTCTGCTCGTGGTGGGTGCGGGCTGCCCACAGGCGCACGTCGCTGACGCAGTACCACTGACTCTCCTCACGGGCTACCGGTTACGACCTTGGGGGAAATCTTTGGAATGTGAAGAATCGTCCCCTGAAACGAACATGCAGAAATAATTTTATGTATGATTTCATGAGAGTGCAGTGGCTCGCTGGGAGACTTGTGTTAGTGAAGGGTCGTCATAACACACGCGGAAGAGCCTTAGCCGCCACCGTGCTGAACGAAAGCCGTGTGAAGTGGACTCTTGGGGAGGGCAGGGGCCCCTGCTGTAACAGGGCCTCCTTCCATCTCTAGAGCCGGCGACTCTGCTCCTTTTTGTCACTCGCTTCCATCCTCCACCCTGTTTTTTTCCTGTCGTCATAAGCACGCTGTTTATGTCCTGCTTTGTCTCCACATCAGAAGGACTCTGTGCTGTAGGCTCCACTTCGAAAAATCCAGAGGAACAACTCAGGTTGGCTTGGTTTGGTCACAGGCCCCCTGTCTTGGTGCTGCATGGTGTTATCGGGAGACTCTTTTGGCGTGGGGTCTGTGATTGGCAGCACCCACGGGAACATTGCAGTTGGAGTAGGCAGTTAATCCAGAAGCCACGGTAGTATTTCCAGAAACAGGGAAGGAGCTTTGCTCAGACAGAAGCAGAGTGGACTACTCCCTACTGCAACCCTTATGGTTTTAGACTGTAGCTAAAACTCACTACTTTAATCTAGTGAAAGAAACCTATGAAAGTTGTCTTTGGGGATCTTGTGTGTATTATAATGGAAATCAGGCATCATCGCTCATTTTGTGCCATAAACTTCTGTAGACTCACAAGATGTAACAGATTGTCTTAGTTTATAGTGATTCCAGATGATGTTACATTCTTTTGATGGAATCGGGGAGATTTTGTTCCTGTTGTTTCTTTTTGACTTTTCAGTGGAGAGTGACCAGAATATTCTTTTTAGCTGTGTTGTGGAAGACTCACACTTTTTTAAAAAAAATCTAATTACATACAAGCAGAGCACATCTTTATTCTTTTCCCTATCTTCTAAGAACAGCTACGTAAGATTTGTATGTTGAAAAGAGTAATGCTTTAAGATATTTAAGAGAAGGTATAGTTTCGATGGAAATAGACTGAATAAATATTTGTGCAGGACAGGCTAGGAGTAAGTCAGCATAAGTGAATGAAACAGAGTAAGTCCTTGAATATACCTTTGGAGCTATTCATTATATGATCCATGGCTCGTCAAGTGTTTGTCACTCTCCTTTTATGAGACATTGTGCTAAAATCACGAGAGATAAAGGAGCATAATCATTATGTCAGACATTAAAACTCTCATGAAAGCTGCCTGGTCCATTGTTAGATGCACAATACATTTCAGATGAATGAAGTTGAGTAAACTTAGATATGCCATAAAAGTGGCATAAATGCTGTTCCAAGGTTTTCTAAAAGGGAGACAGCATTCTTGTTTAGGATGGCTCAGAGACAGCTCCATGAAAGAGCTGGAAACTGAGCTGGGCCTTTGAAGGATGTTTGACTGCAGGGCTGGTGAGGAGAGGAGACGATAGGAGAGCACATATCCTCCGAGGAGTCTTCTAGTCTCTGCATTGTACCGCAGGAACAATACCGTCTTGGTGGGAAGAAATCAAATACTGTGTGAAGAAAACTGTGAACCCCCTCCCCATGATGACAGTTTCATGATCCAGAGGGATCACAAATTTTTTTCATGGATTTTTTTTTTCCGGGATTTATACATCTCTTGTTGTTTGTTTATTGACACTACCTTTCTCTACCAACCCACCCCAGGTTCCATGACACCAAGGCTCAGAGTCTCTGCAGAAGGGCAAGAACAGGGACAAATGTAGTTCTATCCATTTCATAGAAATCTCCGAGAATTTTGTCACGTTGCCCCATGTTGCAGAATCCGTTTGTTATGCTGCTAGGATTCGAGCCCAGTTTAATGTTCTAGGAAGGTGTCCCATTGAAGGAAGTCTCAGGGATAGAAGCATTTGTTAAATGGATATGACTCTTCGTAAACAAGCTCTTCCTCTTGTTGTCCTTAGGCCTAAGCTAAGGTACAATATGGACGGGAACTAAGGCAGGTCCTGTAGCTTTATCCGTGGCAGCCGCTCATGCCCTGATTGCCCGGATTCCCACCAGCGTGGCTGAAGGAGCCGAGATGGTGGCTGTTGAGGAGGAAAGGCCGGGCAGGGCCTCAGGTGTCAGGAGTTTGGGAGCCCAAGGCTGTGGGGCGCCTGGTTTCATCCCTAGAACCTGAATCAGAGTCAAGGAGTGTGACGGTGTGCATGCCGGCTTGTGTTAGTTAACGATACAGATTCCAGGCCTCACCTGTCACTGAGGCAGAATCTTCAGTGGGTATGGTCTAGGGATGTAATTCTTACGCATCCTAAATATTGGAAACTGCTGGTCTGGGAGGCATGAGCGTGTGTGATCAGGGTGGACTGAGAAAGTGGAATAATGGGTAGTGGGGAGGGTAACAGTCCTCTTTAAAACTCTGTATTTGTTGTTGTTGTTTACATGTTAGGACAGATTAATAAAAGAGAACACAAAGCCAGTGAGTCGGGAAGGTGTGGACCCTCCTATCTACCGGCCTAACTTCCTGAGTGCCGACAGAGAATGGTGCTAGACAGAGATCCCAGAGCCACACGCCAGCCGCATGCTGGTCTCTTTTGTAGCATCGTGTGGCTGTTCTCGCATGTTCCTCCTACCATCTGATCTGCAGAGTATTAAAAATGAGAATCTCATTTGCCAAAAATAATGGAGAGGCTTCACTCTAGGCGCACAGCAAACAGATCAGCTGGGCGGATGCCGACCTTGTTAATCAGTCAAGCGTAAGAGGACAGATTCCACCACCAAGGAGTTCAAAGCCAAGAACTCAGAAGAAACCTTCCTAAATGACTTTCCAACGTGTGCGGCAAATGGGTGCTCTGAGAATAAGGGCCAGCCCACTTGTGTGGCGTGGGCAGAAGCTGCCTGTTGCAGTTCTCGCACATGAGCAGATGGGGCTCCAAACCCGTGCACGCTCCCCATGGGTTGGAGTTCTTCCTGGAGCGTTCATCCTTCGGCGTGTTTGTACAGAGCCTGCCCTGAAGATGCTGATGTCGAAAGTACTGTAGAGATGGGGAGGACAGGATTCCATTCGTAAGGGTTTGAAGAATTTTAATTGGAAACTTAAATGCACAAATGGATGAAAAAGACTGACATTTAAATAGCTACATTATAAATGATGTAAATTAATGTATTATAACCTGGGTACAAATGTGGAGTGAAAAACATCAGGTTAGATTGGGGCTAATCAGTACAGATTTCCCAGTGATTATGAATCAAAATTGTATGTATCTATTTTTATTTTTAATGAAGGGTACTCATTTATTACAAAAAATGAAAATATTATGGAAGGGTACAGAGAGGAAAATATTCATCTTAATCCTTTGTAGTTATTTTCTGTATATTCAGTCAAGTACATATTCACCTCAATAATTTTTTTCCATGAAAGGAATCATACTGTACGGATTGTTCTGGATCTGCAACTTGCTTCTTTCACTTAACAATAGAATTCAGACAATTTTCCACTGTAACACATAGAGACTACCTCTCCCGTTTAATGGCTACATAGTAGTAAGGAATTTAGTTATTTCCATGTGGCAGAATTTTTTTTTTTAAGATTTTTATTAATTTATTTGAGAGAGTGAGAGAGCGAGCGCAGGCAGGGGTGGGGCACAGGGAGAAGCAGGCTCCCCGCCAAGTGAGGCGCCCGGTGCGGGGCTCGAGCCCAGGACCCTGGGATCATGACCCGAGTCGAAGGCGGACACCTAACGGACTGAGCCACCCAGGTGTCCCTGTTTTTTGTTTTAATTCAGCTCCTCGGTTGTATTAACCCCATTCCAAGTTCTCAGGTGCCACCTGTTGCCAGGAGCTGCCATGACCGTGCCAGGCACGTGCAGGACATTTCCATCAGCACGGAATGTTCCTCCAGACAGCACTTACCTAAAATTGTGCTGGAACTTCATACCATACCATAAATCACCTGATAATGTTACCAGTTCTGTCATTCAGTGACTCCTTCACAGTTTTTATCTGGGAACCGTAGCACCAACATTAGAGAAACACCCCTGTTTATTCTGTGCCCTAACATAACAAATGTTTATTCTTTTTGTATATTTTTAGTTATTTCTGAGTCTTATTGTGGGGATATAACTTCTCATACTGAGGATTATTCTGTGTGTTTCTGTTGTGTTGTACTTGGTCCTGCACGTTCACATTTTACATGCATGTTCTGTTCTCTACTAAGGCATCAGAGTCAGTCATTCACTAGTTGTTGGGAATTAGGGTCTTTCTTTCACTATCAGTGCCTTTGTGTACCTAGTTTTACAAGAGTGTTATTTTCATGAGGTGCACTAGTGGGATTACTGAGATAAATTATTTGTTCAGTTTTCTGGCTTTTGCTGCATTTTGGCAGATTTATGTCTTTTTTGAAGGGAGGAAAGAACTTGGCTTACTGGAGAGACTAGGTGGGATGTGTCAGCTATGGGAAATGAGCTGTGCAAACACTCGGGAGAAAAAGAAGTTATTTAAAAACTTTCTTGGAACAGATTCTTAGAGCGCTGAAAATTTTCATTTTCATCAGTGACAGGAGGTCAGAGTGGGGAATAAGTGTCTGAAGTATTTTTTTCCTAGATGAGGCTGATGACGATGACGATCCAGAATATAACTTCCTGGAAGACCTTGATGAACCCGACACAGAGGATTTCCGCACTGACCGGGCCGTGAGGATCACCAGTGAGTCTTTACTAGGAGTCCTGCTCTTCACTGCTCCGCAGCTGCCTTTGTTTACTTTGTAGATTTTGGAGGGTGAAGTTTGCAGCCCGTTCAAGTTGAGACATTTAAGCTTGTACCCATTTATTTCTGTAACTCTTTAAATTTACGTATGTATTTAGGAAGCCTGTGAGTCATTCACTTACACATCCCACAGTTCTGCCCTGAGTCCAGTATCTGGTGGGGGTCGTACCTACGATACCAAAATGAATAAGGCATGGCCTGCACCCCGTAGGACCTCAGCTCAAGTAGGGGTACAGACACACGGAGTTATAATACAAAGTGACAGGTGCTATAATGGCTTGTATGTAGGGTTCCCAGTGGCCTAGAAGAGCGTGTAGTCTCCTAGTGGATGGCGCACAGTAGGGTGGGTAGGCTGGGGAAGGACTCACATGATGAGATGTTTTATCTCAGTTTTGAAGCAGGAATAAGAAATTTTGGGTGAGGGGCACCTGGCTGGCTCGGTTGGTAGACTGTATGACTCTTGATCTTGGGGTTGCGAGTTCGAGCCCCACGTTGGGCATAGACATTACATAAAAATAAAATCTTTGAAAAAGAAAGAAGAAATTCTGGGTGAATGGAGACGGGTGGATATTGCAAATAGGTAGAACAGTACCCACCGACGTGTGGAAGAACAGTACCGCACTGGGGAGATGGTGAGTCGTTGGGTTATGGAGTTGTGAGTGCGCGGTGGTAGAAAAGGTAAGCAGTGTTGAGATCCTGGAGAACCTTGAATTTGGGTTTTGATCTGTCAAAAGGAGAGCTCAGAGATTTTGACAGGAAATCAGTAGGAACTGATGTGGATTTTAGAAATACTACTTTGATTTAACACCAAGTTAACGTATTAATTTGATGGGTAAAGAGAGCAAGATTGGAGGCATGGAAAACAGTTCAGTGACTTGGCTCAAGTTATTTTTTAAAGAATTACTTCATTGGCTATGTTGCCAAAGATAGAAAACATATATTTCAGAAAGTATTGATTTTTTTATTTTTTAAATATTTTATTTATCCATCTGAGACAGAGAGAGAGAGAGAGAGCACGTGCATGAGCAGGGGAGAGGGGCAGAGGGAGAGGGACAAGCAGAGCAGGGAACCTGAGGCAGGACTCGATCCCAGGACCCTGAGATCATGACCCAAACTGAAGGTAGATGCTTGACATACTGAGCCACCCAGGTGCCCCAGAAAGTATTGATTCTGATTGAGTGTGTGCGTGACCCTGACCTGGACTAGCATACACACCATGGTGAAGGTGGGATGTTGGCTCTTGACCAGGTTGTGGAGAAAGCTTTATGAGCATCCAGACACACTTATTATTACCTACCTATATAATGCAGCTATCTGTGCAGAGAGAATTATGGAAACATGATCCTTTAGGACTTTCGTTCTAGTTTATTGCTTTATTTCCTCCTTCATCTTGTTTTTGGGATTAGAATGCCATTTCCTTTGTGAGGATCTTCCCTTATTTGCTATGTTAGGACAATTAAGGTTAGAGTAAGTGCTGAAAGGAATCAAAGTGTAGGATGCAAAGGCTTGAGGTGTGGACTGTGGGGGGTCAGGAAAGTGTGAGAAAAACCAAGGAAGTCTGGTCAGAAACCAAGGGAAGATTCTTTGAAGGAGCATTTGGTCCACCAATGCTGGTAATGAAGCGTCTCTCCTGGAAGCGGGAGGTAGATTTCGTTTGGGCTTGGCTCCTGGCCTGGAGTACGGAGTGCACTTGGCCTTCCTTGTCTGTCTGTCTGTCTCTTTCTCCATGTTACAGATCGTTTCTCAGGAAGACCCTCCCCAGTTAGCATGGTTCTTGCTTTGCCCTCCACACCAGTTGATGTGCTCTTTCTAGTGCTCGCCTCTCTCCTGGGTTGCTCAGGCCCTGTCCGTCTTCTCCCCTGGCCTGTGAACTTCTTGGGGAGTTGGTGCTGTTTGCGGTCCTAGGCCAGGATTTGGCCAAATAGTGACCTTTTCTGGGGTGCCTGAATGAAGGGCCGTCCTTTCTTGTCATAGGGTTCTGTGATCATATGTAAAAACTGGGATGGAATTCCGGTTTTGTTCCTACCCCTTGTCCTCTTGTGTCTGATGTTATCATATTATCCCTATGGGAGGACTTTTCCTTATGTGGATGACAAAAATTTGAAAAAATAAAAATAGCATAGAAACTCAGAGTTTGGAAGGCTTCCTGTGGTCATGTATTTGCCTCCCACTTGAGTTTGTCTGTAGCTTCTCTGTGTCTGGGTGACCCCCAGTGCTCGTCAGTCCTGAAGACGGCATGTCCCTGTCTTGAGCACCTCCTCAACCAACATTTTCCTTACTGAACCTCCGTATACCTGTTACATTCCTGTTTGTCCTTTGTTGCTAGAAAATGTAATTTACTCCCAAGCGTGCATAGTAAAAGATGTTCCTTTTCCTACGTTTTTTCTTTGCCGTGCCAAATATACTAAGTTTTTTCAGTTCTCCAAATGCAGTAGTCTCCAGACCTCTCGTTACCCAAAGCCACCGTCCTCTGGATTCCGGCCTTTATTTTTTTCCTTAAATTTTTTTAAGTAGGCTCCATGCCCAGCGTGGAACCCAGTGTGGGGCTTGAATTCACGACCCTGAGATCAAGACTTGAGCTGATATCAAGAGTTGCTCATCTAACCTACTGAGCCACCCAGGAGCCCCTGGCCTTTATTTTTTTTATAAGCTTTTCTCCCCTTATATTTTTTAATGGAACTTCTAAAATTCATAGAAGAGTTGAAAGCGTTGTACACTGAACACCCACCCACATACCCACCACCTAGTTTCTGTGAGTAACTTTTAATATATTTGCTGTGTCATGCAGCTGTTTATCTATCTCTCTGTCCACCTGTGAATCTGTGTGGGTTTTTCTCATGCATTTCAGAGTGGGTTGTAGATAGCAGCATACTTCACTGCTAAACATTTTAGCCTAAGCATATCATTCATTTGGGCTCGGTATTCATCTACAATTTCTCTTTTTAGGTAAATTTGTGCACAATGTATTGCACACATTTTTTTAAAAAATATTTTATTTATTTATTTGAGAGAGAGAGAGCACATGAGAGAGGGGAGGGTCAGAGGGAGAAGCAGACTCCCCGCTGAGCAGGGAGCCCGATGCGGGACTCGATCCCAGGACTCCAGGATCATGACCTGAGCCGAAGGCAGTCGCTTCACGAGCTGAGCCCCCCGGGCGCCCCTATTGCACACATTTTTAGTGTTGTACCGTTCAGTGAATTCTGATGTACTTCCACCTGTGTAACCAAACCCCTAGGGGAGTATGGAACTGTCACCCCAGAAAGCTCCCTCAGGCCCCTTCTGAATCATTCCTCTCACCATCCTCCCTGAGGCAACCGCTGTTCTGGTTTGGTTTTTTTTCATAACAGATTAGATTTGCCTGTGTTAGAACTTCATATAAATGGAATCATAAAGTGTGTGCTCTTGTGTAAAGCTTCTTTCAGCATAAAGTTTTTGAGATGCATCTGTATTGACACGTATCACTACTTTTTCCTCTTTTATTGCTGAGTGGGATTCCATTGTATAAACATACCAGTTTATCTTTTTTAAATCTGTTCCCAGGTCTTCATGGAGACCTGGGTTTTTCTAATTTTTGCCTATTTTGAATGAAGCTGCTCTGAACTTTCTTGTGCAAACCTTTCCTGAACAAATGTTTCATTTCTCTTGGGTTAGCTGTCCTGGAGAGGAATCACTGGTCAGAGAGAGACGTATGCTTAGTTTTATAAGAAATTGCCAGATTTTTTCCAAAGTGGATTTCTATTTTACCTTCTCATCAGAATTTCATTTGCTCCACATCTTCACCAGCATTTCGATTTTTAGCTTTTTAATGCCCTCTCAGGAAGGGCTTTTGCAGAAAAGATCACAGACACGTCTGGACCCTCTGGACGTGGTCTGAGACTCTACGCTGGCTCTGTGACAGGCTTGTGGATACTTGTGCTGTTTTGGAGTAGCTGTGTCAGATTGAACTTGAGGTCAGCCAAGACATTCAGATCTTTTTCAGATTTTTTTGAGCCATTTCATGTTTTTGTGCACTTGAGAAACTGATTTTTAAAATTCCTAAATGTAAGACTTTAAACTTGTCCCATTAAGTTTCATCCAATTAATTTGAGGAAACATGGAATTTTGAATCTGTCATCAGTTGGTCTAGCAATCCCTTCCAACTTTATATGATTTACAGATTTGGTAAGTGTGTTTTCTGGGTTTTCTAGGTCATTGATGGAGTTGCTTTGTAGTTCGGGTGCAAAGACAGGGCCCTCGAGACTTCTCTCGTGACTCTGTTCAGTAGGCTAGGCCGGTAAACTATGAATTATCCTTATTGTGAAATCATCTGGCTCACATTTCGTGCATGTCTCCCCATTGGAACTTTAGCTTCTAGAGAGTGAGACTGTTAGTTTTTTCTTTCTGTTTTTTGTTTTGTTTTATTTTAGAAAAGGGGGTTGCTGGTGAAGCGGGCAGAGGGAGAGGAGACAGAATCTTAAGCAGACTCCATGCCTAGTGCAAAGCCCAATGTGGGGCTCGATCTCACGACCCTGAGATCATGACCCAGGCCGAAATCAAGAGTCAGATACTTAACCGACTGAGCCACCCAGGTGCCCCGTGAGACTGTGAGCTCTGCCGTGTGCCCTCCAGCATCTAGAACAGGGCTTGAGGCACAATTGGGAGTCAGTAAATGTGTTTGAATGAACAGATGACAGGTAGATGTGAGGGTTTTGTCAGATGTCTTGCTGGAAACCAGACGCGGTGTCTCTGTGCAATTCCCGCCTGTCGGAACTGAGACCGACCTGGACCAACAATGCCGTTTGGCTTCTTTTCAGAGAAGGAGGTGAATGAGCTGATGGAGGAACTGTTTGAAACTGTGAGTAACGATGCAAAGTCGGGGCTCGGGATGCTGGGCGGCTCCTCTGGCGTGCTCTGTCCTCTGCTCCCAAGCCCCTCCCTCCGCAAGGCTGGTGTGGCCAAGCCACTTCACCTTCCAGCCCCCTTGGGAGCGGGTGTCGTTGGGAGGGCAGTTTGGCTCACTGATACACTCTGATTGTCCATACATAGGTTATTCTTAGTAAAATGTTCCTTGTAAACTTCGGATGGCCTCCCCAACCATCATTCCGTGCCTCCGTAAAGATTGCAAATTAGTTTTTGGATTATGCTGGGCACAGATAGTTACCTTTCTCAGAAACTTGTCTCTTGAAAGACATTTCTGATCATTCTGAGCTGTCTGTGCTCTGTACCATCGCAAGTGGCTGATTGAGAGACTTCGTTCCTGTCACAGTGGCTGTGTGCGGGACCGCGGGTGCCCTGAAGTGAGAAAGGTCTTGAGGGGGCTCTTTCTGGGTGCCCGCATTGCCGGCGCCCTGTAGACTGTGGTCTTCGCTTTCCCTTCTCACTGCTGGGGGGCTTGCACGCACCCCTTCCCCGGGATCACCCTCCTTCCCCTGTGCCCTCAGTTCCAAGACGAGATGGGACTCTCCCACGTGGAGGATGACGGCCCGGAGGAGGAGGACCGCGCGGCTGAACCCCGGCCTAGCTTCAACACCCCTCAGGCCCTGCGGTAGGCTAGCCAAGGGCGCCGAGGTGCCAGACGGAGGGGACGTGTGTGTCCAGACACTGCCATTGACAGTTCCCGGGTGCTCGGTGCCCGCGGTCGCTGGTGGAGGATCTCTGGGGATAAGTCTCCTTGTCGTGGGGCAGTGCAGCGGCAGACCAGGCTGCGTCTGTTTGGGAAGGGAGAGAAAGCAGTAGCTGGTGTCCATGGCAGCTTCTCCAGATGAGTGGTGCTGGAGAGGTGTGAGGACTCTGGGGCCAGCCACAGAGACCACCCCTTTCATAAGAGCCTGTGTATCCCTTTGTTTTCCTTGTTGGTCATTAGCATCGGGTAAATGTTAGCGGAAGTTTGTTAGTCACCTTGGTGATGATTGAGCAACCGTGGAGCATCTTCGGTCTGAGGTGGAAGTACCACGCGCATCACACGACGCTGGCACTTCTGTTCTCCACCCACAGAGTGGAGGCTTTAAGTTTTGTGGGATGGGTTTGTATAATTTGTCTATATTTTAACGAACTGTTACCCATTCTGAGTGGCAGCATACGTGCGTGGTGAGGTGACCGGCTAGCTAGCAGTCGGGGGGTGGAGCCGAGCAAAGCCGAGAGACCCGCTGGTCCTAGATCCGTTAGTCCTGTGTTTTCACAGCCTGGCCTAACCGGAGAGCTTGGGAGCCACCTGAAAGCCAGGCCTTCGGGGAACGTGCAGTTTAGTAGAAGAGACAAGATACCCCACCATTGCATAATAGCCGGGAATATAGTTCATGGTCCATTATAATAAACACCATAGTGTAACCACAACAGAATTTTGGGATCCCCCACCCCCATTTTATTTTGTTTTGGCTTTATTGAAGTATAATTGACAAGTTGTAAGACATCGAAAGTGATTTGATGCAGGTAAGCATTGCGAACGGGTCCCCACATCGAGTTAGTTAGTAACACCGCAGCCTTACATACTTACTTTTTTGGGGGAAACGTTTTCAGGCTTTCTGAGTCTTTATTTGACCCACTTACTGCAAGCCATAGTTCATAGTTCATTTGATCTGTAAACGTATTTTGGTTCCACTGATAATCTCTGTGTATGAATTCTTTACATTTGGGATTTATAGAACTACTTTAAAATCCTGGTTGAAGATGAGCTGTGTCTGGCGCTCGCTCGGTTCAGCTGCACAGGCTGCAGCTGCTTCCCATTCAGCTAAAATTGCAAACTTGGTTTAGTCTTTGACTAAGATATCATGGGGAAAGTGAGCCAACTGTGTCCCTCTTACCAACCAACTAAGTAATATTTCATAAAACCAGGGGCAGGCTATTTGTGCTTTGTCTACTTTTTCCGTGTGTTTTTTTTCTGTTGTCCTGCTAGGAGCACAGGTAATGGAGAGTTTTCTGTTCTCAGCAAACATTGTACAGAGGACTGTCCTTGTCTTTAGGTTGTTACCCTGGGCCTGCCCACACACATAGTAAATACTGCAAAAGGACACATAATCTTTATCTGTAGAGGCTGTAGAAAAGTTACCATTTAACTGTTGTTACAGTACAGAGGATTTCATGAAATAGGATATCCTGCTGGTCATACCTGCTTGAGCTGGTCTCACCCTGATTGCATAGGGTATCAGCTCACCCTTAAGCCCCTGAGCGTCCTGCTCTGCCCCAGGACTAGGTTGCGAGCTGGCTGTGTGGATGCTGGCTTTGGCGCCAGCCAGTCTAGTCCCTCTCTGGAGGCAGGGGTGGGCGGGCAGGTTAGAGAGCTGAGAGGCGGGGTGTGGGGGAGACGCCAGAGGATGAATCCAGGGTGGGAGCCAGCTGCTTACCGTCCTTCCCGGCTGTCCTGTGTTTCAGTGTATTCGCTTCTTGCTTCCTACTAGGTCTTTGACTTCTTAAGAAAGGAAGGCGGGGCAGCCTAAGCGGATGGGAGTGGCAGGAGGGCAGAAGCTGGACCTGGGGTGGGGTCATGAGTGGATTAGGGAACCAGTGCTGGACGTGGAGAAGATTCTGTATCACCTTTGCGTTCCAGGGTAATGTGGTGTCGGTAGGACCCAAGGATGATGAGTTCTTCCCGTTGGCTCTTTGACTACTTTGTTATCCAGACATTTCTCTGCTCCTAGAGTTTGGTTTAATTTCTCCTTCACTTGTGTATTACTTATAAGACTGTAGAAGAATGCAGGGGGGGTGACAGTGCAATTCAGAACTATCTCCTTTGGATTTATGCGAACAACTTCGGGAAAAGATTTGGATAGGCTAGGAGTTTGTTGGCTAGAGTGGGGTGTGGGGATTAGCAGAAGATGGAAGTGTTCACACTCTTAGCCCTCAGGAGGTGTCAGATGTGTTGCTAGCCTGGGGAAATGTCCAAATTCGGTCGTCTCCCTACCGGGGACAGGTTTGAGGAACCACTGGCCAACTTGCTGAATGAGCAGCACCGCACAGTGAAGGAGCAGCTTGAGCAGCTGAAGATGAAGAAATCCTCAGGCAGACAGCAGCAGGAGGTGGAGAGGGTGAAGCCCCAGACTGAGAAGGTTCATCAGACGCTGACTCTAGACCCACCACAGAGGAGGCGCCTCCAGCAGCAGATGCAGCAGGTGAGCCTCGTCCCGGGCCGGACACGGAGGCCAAGAGCTAGCAGTTGTCTGGAAATCAGAAACCAGTATCTTGATGCCCACTGAAATCACAGGGCCCCAAGATCTTCACATCATCGAGGACGTTGAAAGGGCATCATGTTGGTATCCTTACAGGCAGGCGAGAATGCAGATGCACATAACAGACCCTCATACTCCAAGGTTACGCATTTCAGCCTTCTGTGAACCATTCTGAATTTAACAGCCTCACTTGCTGAAGTTCTAATTTCAGTCCCTCTGGTTTGAGGTTAAACTTCCTCTGGTTCTGTCATTTTGCTCAAGGGGAACAGATCTGAGAAATTCACACCAAGATATGGTGCCAATCTCGTAGTCTCTTTGGAAAGCAAAACGTGTGGTAACGTTGCAGACATCTTGCTAAGGTCTTCTGGGTTCCGGAAATGACAACACCGTAACGTGTCACCGTGTTATTTTCTTTCCCTTCCCAGCATGTTCAGCTCTTGACGCAAATTCACCTTCTCGCCTCCTCCAACCCCAACCTCAATTCGGAGGCCAGTACCACCAGGATATTTCTTGTAAGGTTCCAAGTATCCTTCACTCTAAAGATGTTGGTATCCGTTAGCGTGGGGGGGTCACTTCTAGACGGTCACCCAACACCAGCTGCATTTACTCTTCTCTCCTGGGGTCCTGGCTGCTGTCCCTACCGCTTCCTGCCTGTGCTGAGAGAGCATCAGCCTCTGACCCCGTGCAGGACCAGAGTGTAGCCAGTTTCCTGAGGACATTCCTCTGACTTTTCTGTTGGGTCCTCTTCCTCATCTTTTTTTTTTTTTTTTAGATTTTATTTATTTATTTATGAGAGAGGGAACACAAGCAGGGGGGGTGGCAGAGGGAGAAGCAGACTCCCCGCTGAGCAGGGAGCCCGATGCGGGACTCGATCCCAGGACCCCAAGATCATGACCTGAGCCGAAGGCAGACGCTTCACCAACTGAGCCCCCCAGGCACCCCTCCTCTTCCTCATCTTTAGACCCACCCTGACTTCTTGGGTTTTTGGTACTTCTTTTTATTGAATTCATTATCCATTCATTAGGCTCAGCATTAGTATTTTATGTATAAAATTAATCTCGGTCATGACATTTTTAAGTATTTTGGAGGAAGGGCTTTTAATTTTGAAATTTTCTAGGTGTTATTAAGCGAAACCAAAAGACAAAAAATTTTAATTGTTCTTACTTTTGAGAACCTTTATTCTGACTGGGGAGCTAGACCATCCATCCGAAGGGCTGAGGAATAAAACAAGAACAGATGAGTGTATCATAAACACAATCATTGAATATCTGAGGACTCCGCAGAAGAGTAGTCTTAACGGAGTCATGTTAATTATGGAGGACTTTATGATGATTTTTATCTGTTTCTGTCCTTTAGCAGGAAGGACAGATTTTCCCTCGGAGGCTAGTGAGGGCTGCTGGTATTAAGCTTCTGGGGCTGAGGTCTCCTTTGTGCCCTGTCTCCCCAGAAAGAGCTGGGCACCTTCGCTCAGAGCTCTGTCGCACTCCACCAGTCCATTCCCGGCTTCCAGACCTTGTTTCAGCCCTGCAACCTGCTGGGGGCAATGCAGCTCGTTGAAGACTTCAACACGCACGTCAGCATCGACTGGAGTCCTCGCAAAACTGTCAAGAAGACTGGTAGGGGACCCGTGTCCGCTTCTGCGTTTTGCTTTGCGTTGAGTTATCTTGAACCTCCCTTCCCAGGAGACAGGACAGGGGCCATCTATAATGTCGTCGTTGGTACCCACTGTCTACATTCCAGGAGGTCATGATAGTGTTTGGGCTTCTGTGAGGGCGGGGCAATGGACAGGACAGGGCGGGGGGCGGCGCTGGGCCGTGGCCCTTGGCAGATGTGAGGGCGGGAAGCAGTGGGAGTGAGGTCACGGGTCTGGGGAAGATGAAGGGCCGGTGGTTGAAGTTCGTTCGTGGTCAGGTTTTTATTCTCTGCTTCGTTAAGATACTTTTATTTCCCTTCATGATTGCAGTGGTATCTCCATTTTGAATGAAATGTTGATTTGGGAATTAGGTACAAATTAGAGATGTACATTTGCCATGTTCAGTATTTTAAAGACTTGTGCAGGTTTGATTTCTGCCATGCCTTTTTTAGTAATTTTTGAGAACACATTTGCTATTCCCTTAAACTGAATAATTGCTTCTGATTAGTTTCCTGGCTTAGCAGACGAGTTGTGGTTTGAAATCCCTGACTCTTAGCATTAGATTGAATTATAGTTGAGTTCGGGTGCATTATGTTATAGACGCTGATCTCAAACGACTGTCTTAGCTCTCTGATGGTAATGGAAACCTAACACCGTGGCCTGGTAATAGGTTACACATACAGTGTCCTGTGTTTTTCTTCTGGGGATGCAAAAATACCGTTTTTGGAAGGAGAACGATGGATATAGTGGTGCTTCCCATGTCCGGAAAGGCAGAACATGCCTGGAAGGAGAGGCTTAGGAGCAAGGCAGAAATGAGAGAGACTGAATTGCCTTGTTCCTTTTACGGTCTTTGTTCCCAACCCCAGGAGGGATCTGGGAGGACTTGCTGGAAGTTAAGTAAGAATCAGATCAGATAAAATCTGGAATACCAGATTGGTGAGGGAGGTGAAAGCAGCTGGCATCTCATCCTGAAAGAAAGTCCCTTCCCTTGCAAGGCCTTCGGGGGACGGGGGGGGAGGCGATGGCAGCATCTGAGTGCGCCCTGTGTGCCCCCGGTGGCCCGCACTGTTACGCGCGGCTGCGCCGCTGAGGGAAGAGCGAGCGTGTCCGTGTTTAGTGGCGCCGAGCGGGACTCCCCGTAGGCCTGTGTCGGGCTGAGGAGGTTGCTGGGAACTTCTGCGGGAGGGGAGGCGGAGACACCCCCAGGTAGGGGCGGCTCTAGCTAAATGCAGACTTGCATTCAGAAGCTTTTGTTCTGGGATTTCATTTACCACAGAATTGTTTCCTCACAGCAGACGAATTTCCCTGTTTGCCAAAACAAGTGGCTTGGATCCTGGCCACAAGCAAGGTGTTCATGTACCCGGAGCTACTTCCAGTGTGTTCTCTGAAGGCGAAGAACCCCCAGGATAAGATTTTCTTCACCAAGGCCGAGGACAAGTAAGGGTTTGCCGTGGGGGAGCAGAGGCCCCGAGGGCCCCAAGGAGAAGACCTGGGTCTTTCTCTTGAGGAGCCTGGGGGCAGGCAGGCATGTGTTACCTGGCACGACACGGAAGGCCGGAAGCTGAGCTGGAGTGCTGGGCGCAGCTCTGCGGCAGGTTTGCTCGAGCGCCAGACACTGCTCTTTTTGGGGAACAATGTGCACTTTTTGGAAACATTTTAACTTGTTTTTTGTTTTTTATTTATTGTAAAAACCAATCTCATAGTACTTTTAGAGGCAGTTTTTCAAAGGAAAAAAATTTTTATCCATTATCCTAACCACCCCATGACAATGATTTTTTTTTTTTAAACTAATCTCTGCGCCCAACATGGGGCTTGAACTCACGACCCCAAGATCGAGAATCAGATGGTCTACTGACTGAGCCAGCCAGGCGCCCCCAATGATTTTTCATATAATTATTGGCAATTTAAGTATAATTTTGTTTTGCCTTTTTTGACCTAACACCTTGAAATTGTTTCCTGTGCTCTGTGCTGGAGCACCGTCCCCCTGCGGTTTCCGTGGGCTGTCTCCTCAGGTGATCTTCCACGGGCCCTGGGACAGCCCTTTTATCTGCCACTGCTTCCTTTTTTCTTCTCTCGTGTTTTGCTGTGTTAGTGGGGCTTCGGCAAGGATCTTTGCGTATAGAGCTTTTGAACGTCTTTTGAGTTTATCCCTTTGGGTAAATTCTCAAGCGTGAGATGATTTGGTAAAGGTCAGGAACATTTTCATGGCTCTTGATGGTATGGGCCCACTGCCATCAGCGAATTGCGGTAGATGGGTAACCGCAATCGAATGGCTTATGTTGGGAGGCAGTATTGGTCCTGATTTAATATGTCTCACACCATGCCCGTTATTCATCTCACATTTGTTCTGTTAGCCCCATTCTCTTTCCTTTGAATTTCGTTTGTACTATTAGTGTGAAGCACGTCACGATCTGACATTTTTTAGTGATTCATGCCCATTTTTCATCTTCCCACGTGACTGGGAACCCCTGGTTGTGTCTCCGTCATTGTGCTTGCTCGCCGTGAGTAAGCACCTGCAGATCTCTGTGGGGCAACCACTGGCTTGCACAAGAATGAGGTGTGCCACTGTTGGGGGGTGTACCCTGGGTGCTGCTCTGGGGAGAGGGCGTTCTGCAGAACAGAATAAGGCGAGATTTAGGTCATGGCTCCTTTCTCAGTTTGTTGGCTTTAGGGCTAAAGCACTTTGAAGGGACCAAGTTTCCTAAGCTGCTGATCAGCAAGTACCTCCTCACCTGCAAGACCGCCCACCAACTGACAGTGAGGATCAAGAACCTCAACATGAACAGAGCGCCTGACAACATCATCAAAGTAAGTACTTCCTGTGAACTCCCCAGGGCCTTGCTCCGGCTCAGCCTCACGGCAGAGGGCCCTGGTTCCTCCCACCAGAGCTGGGTCAGTCCCCCTCTGGCTTTTCCAGGGACATTGACCCTTGTTCTCCTCTGGAGTATCATCTTCTTCCTCTGTTATGGGTATTTCTCCTAAAAATAAAATTACTCCAACTTTTTTTTTTTTTTTTTAAAGATTATTTATTTGAGAGAGGGAGAGAGCATGAGCTGGGCGGTGGGGGGGATGGGGCGAGGGAAAAGCAGACTCCCCGCTGAGCAGGGAGACCGACTCAGGGTTCGATCCCAGGACCCCGGGATCATGACCTGAGCGGAAGGCAGATGATCAACTGACTAAACCACCGAGGCACCCCAAAATTGTTCCAACTCTTAAAATATTTCTCAACTTCACATTTCCTTCGAGCCGCTCTTTCTGTCTCTTTCCCGCTAGCCTTCTGGAAGGGTAGACAACACTCCGCTGTATCCTTCTGCTTACCTTTTTCTATGTGGGTATGTCTATCAAAGTTAAAAGTATATATCGTATAAAAGGTAAATAGTTTAAGTGCTTTAGAGTCAAATAGTTCTGTGAGGCTTCTTACGAAGAATATTTTTCTCCCTATTTCCTACTGAGGTTTTTGAGGGGTGGTATGTCTGCATCTGTATCTGGGTGGCTTGCTTGTCATTGCCACCACTTGATGCTTTGGATTGAAGCCTTATTTAGTAAAGTGCAACACGGGCGACAGAGATTTGGGCCTCCCACTGCCACAGCCCTGCCATCAGCACAGGTGTCTTCTGTCCTCCGGTTCTCCCACTAGATCACAGTGTTGGTTAGATTCAGGGCTCACATTATAAGCGTATAATTGCTTGGTACGTGTCCCTCCCAGCTGAGCTGTGTGGTGTAGCGTGATTGCTTTGCTTTCCTGCCGACATGTTTTTGTGGAGTTGATAATTGCATTTGGGGGAGCCGGTGGGGCTTGGTCTCGTGAGGTATGTATTACCTGTTCAACACTGGAGTTTACTTTAGTGCTAGGAGTCTCTGGTCATTTTCAGCTTCCTGAGGAAGCCTCTCCCCAACTCCGCTTATGCTGTTCCCTCTAAACGTGTTGCTCTCTCTGCTTGCTACACGAATGGCTTCTTGGGATTTTTCTTCCCCCATCGTCATGGGTTGGTTCTGCTTCTTTCCCCTGTGCATCCTCCTGGTCCCCAAACCCACATCTTTCTTGATTTTACTTCCTTCTTTAGCGGAGCACATCCTCATGGCATTCTGGGGAAGAGTGCTCGAGAAACAGATGTGTAGATTTAAACTGGCCATATTCCCAGTGTTCACCACTGCGTGAACGGGACCAGGGCCGCGTCCTGGTTTGTGTGTGTGACCACTGTCACTGTGCGACATAAGGTCTTACTGTTGGAAGAAACTGGGGGAAGGCTGTCTTATTTCTGCAACTTCTTATGAATCTGATTATTTAAAATGTTTTTTTAAAAAGTCTAAAAATATATCCCTTTTCTACTCTCCACCTTCAGTGGGTCTAGAATATGAGGTTAGAAATCATTTTTATTAGAAAGTTTTAAGGGCCTTGCTCCATTTTCTTCTCGTTACTAGTGCTGCCTCTTTAGATTTGATGCCTTGAACCTGTGTGACCTGTGCCCCCCACTCCAGCGGCATGTAGGGTTTTTCCTTTTCTCAGTGTTTCGGGATTTTATGGTGCTGTGGATGCCTCACTGTGGGTCCAGTGTCGTTAATTCTGAAAGGACTGGGCACCTCGCCCTCCCTGCCCCCACAAGGCGTGCTGTCCCCTGGGCGGTACCCCCGGCCTCCTGCTGGTCTTCTCTTTACCCAACACTTTGATCTTTTGTTGTACTTTCTGGGGTCTTACTTCAGCTTTTTCTTCTGACCTTTCTGCCGAGGTAGCTCTTTATTTCTTCGGCTATATTTTTAATTTCCAATAGCTTTTTTACATTCTTTGAATATTCTTTAATGGTGAACGGCAGAGGGAGTGTGGGAGGCAGGGGAGGACGAAGGCTGGACTTGTCCCCTGTGTCCCCTCCACGGCACCTGGCGGCCTCTGTCCAGCTGCTCGGCTCGGGAGAGGCTGCCCCCAGCTACGGCCGGCGGGGTGGGATGTGGGGCGTCACCGCCTCTTCAACAGCTTCTGCTTGCCCTCCTCATCTTTGCCCGTTCCCACTTCCAGCTTTACCCGCACTTCTAGAGGTTTCCGTGGTCTCACCCCGCGGCTGGCCTTTGACATCCGTCTCGTCGGCCCTCAGCTTCCCTCCCTGTGACGTTCGGCTTTCTTCATTCTCCTCTGTGTCCCCACTCAGCCATCTGCTTCTTAGTTTTGAAAATTTTGTTGCTTTCACCTTTCATTCTCTCTCCTTATAGGCTTTTACCTTAAAGCAATTCCCTTGTTTCCTTGGGGTTTGAAGAGGGAACAAAGCCAAATGGATGTGTTTAATCTGTTTTTAACAGTGCGTTTCTCCTTCACTCTCTAAGCTCTGTAAGTGTGGACGGTATCCCTGCAAAGATCTGTTCTTTCCCTGGTGGTGATGCACGGCTGCTCTCGTGGCCTCCTCCGGTTGGGACTGTGGCGCCTTCACTCCTGCTCTCAGCCACAGCTGCTCCTTCACCAGCTCCTCTTGCCCGCTCCTCCCACACGTCCGAGTTCCGCAGGAGACTCACAGCGTGTCGGGGTGCCCTGTCTCCTCATGGTCCTCAGTCTGTGTCCTTGGTCCGGATTCTCCCGAGCGCCAGCCATTGCCAGTTCTTCCCCGGGCTGCCTCGTTGACTCCTCAGTCCGAGCTCTGTTCCTCTGAACCTTCCGCCTGTGGCTGCCGGCACCCTCCCCTCCCCCAGCTCCCCCTGCTGTGGTCTGTGTCTCTGGGACCTTGCGGACTGGCTCTTGTCTCAGTGCACGAAGCTGCGGGTTGTCCTTGGCCCCCCCAGCTTGACCACTGCCATATGCCGGGCTGTCCCCAGCCCTCCGTGTTCTTACCCTGCTTCCTACCCTGATGCCCGTGGCCTTGGCGCCAGCCCGTGACAGCTGCAGTAATGCCCTTGTTTTCTAACCAGCGTTCCTAATTCTGGCTCCTTCCCGTTGCTGCCGTGGCCACCTCCAGATGACTTCCGGGTACAGCTCACACCGTTTGGCATGGTCAGAAGGCCCCCCCCCACCTTACCTCCGACTTGTCTCCGGAAGTCTCTTCACATTCCTTTGTTGTAGCCAGACCAGTCTCTGTGGTTCCTTCAACACGTTCATGATTTGGGACAAGAAGGGTGTCTGCCCCTCCCTGCCTCCCTCGGCCAACTCTGTGCCGTCGAGATTCATCTGTAGTTGTAGCTGCTCCAGAATTGTCTTTATTGTTCAAGTGTGACATGTGTGTCATTTTTGTGGGTGCATCTTTGTACTTCTTCACAGAGAATTTCTTGGGTTTGGCTCACTGTCCTGTGAGTCTGTGGGCTTCCCGGGAGCAGGAAGGGCTTTTCTTACTTGTCTGCTTGGCCTCTGGCGGGCGCTCGGCAGATGTGCATTGGATGGATGCTTGTCACTGTTTTGATTCCTGTTAATTTTTTTTTTTAAGATTTTATTTATTTATTTGACAGAGAGACACAGTGAGAGAGGGAGCACAAGCAGGGGGAGTGGGAGAGGGAGAAGCAGGCTTCCCACGGAGCAGGGAGCCCGACGCGGGGTTTGATCCCAGGACCCCGGGATCATGACCTGAGCTGAAGGCAGATGCTTAGCGACTGAGCCACCCAGGCGCCCCTGATTCCTGTTAATTTACTCTTAAAACTGCTTCAGTCTCTTCTTTCCCTTCCCCCCTGATGTCCTTTGCACGATTACTTCCTCAGTAGGAAGCTTCCGTGGGTCGTGGCTGAGGGTTAAGGCGCTGCGTGTAGGACCAGATCTGAAGGACGGGCTCCGATCTTCTGCTTCCTTTTCTCTGTGACCTAAACTTTTCCCTGTCTGATGATCGCGAGTGTTGCAGAATTGTCATTAGGATTGAGAACTTAGTGTAATTTGAAATGCAGAGCATGTAGCATGTGCTGGTTATGGTCATGTGTGTACGGTGGGGGGGGGGGCGTCTCAGACTGCCGCACACTCAGCTCCCCAGTCCGACAGAGGGCAATGTTTCTGGAGAGAATGTAGCTCGTGTGTCATTTCTTCACGCTCAGTTTTATAAGAAGACCAAACAGTTGCCCGTCTTGGTGAAATGCTGTGAAGAGATCCAGCCCCATCAGTGGAAGCCACCTGTCGAGAGGGAAGAGCACCGGCTTCCGTTCTGGTTAAAGGTACGCTTCCCTCCCTGGGCCGTGTGGGCGGCGGCAGGCGGCGGGGCTTACTTGACGCCCCCGGCGGAGGCGGAGCCTTAGCCGCAGCGCGGGCTCGGCGGGTGCTCCTCCCTCCCCCTCCTCTCCTGCTGCTGCCCCTTTCCCCACGTGACTCTGCTACCTCTGAGAAAACGTGGCAAAATGATACGGCGTCCCTAGAGCACATAATTAGGATGTAGTCTTTAGAGATTGGATATCCTGCAAGAAAATTCCTTGAAAAGATTTTTTGAGACTGTCCTGGAAAGGCCCCTAAAGTCTCGGAAGCCCCGTTCTTCTCTCCAGGTTCTGACATGTGCTGGATCAGTGTGTTCTTGTTCTCATAGGCCAGCCTGCCATCCATCCAGGAGGAACTGTGGCGCATAGCGGACGGCGCCAGAGGGGTAGGAAGTGTGACTGGAACCGCTGAGGGCAGCTCAGAGCCAGGCCTGGGAAAAGGCAGCTCGGAATTGGGCAGTGAAACTCTGTACCCACTGCTGTTGCCCAAGGGTGTAGTCCTGAAACTGAAGCCAGTGGCCAACTGTTTCTCCAGGAAGGCCTGGAGACAGAAGCGGCCATCAGTCCTGAAGCCCTTGCTAATCAGACCCAGCCCCTCTGTCCAGCCCAGCTCCACCTCTGGGAAAACACCAGCTAGGTCAACTCTGTCCGAAGCCCCTCCGAGCAAAATGGTGGTCCGGATTCCTCACGCGATCCAGCCAGCCGCTGTCTTGCAGACGGTGCCCGGCGTCCCTCCACTGGGGGTCACGGCGGGGGACAGTTGTGAGTCTCCGGCAGCACTGCCTCCCACAGCCCCCGAGGCCAGGACCAGCTTCCCTCTGTCTGAGCCCCAGACCCTGCTCTCCTCTGCCCCTGTGCCCAAGGTAATGCTGCCCTCACTTGCCCCTTCCAAGTTTCGAAAGCCGTGTGCGAAGCCAAGAGCCTCCAAGAGAAAGGGGGCCACGGCCTCTCTCCGTCTGGAGCCCGCCTCCCTCCTCCACCCGCTCCCCGTTATCTTCACCGTGCCCGCCGCCACGGTGAAGGTTGTCAGCCTCGGCAGTGGCTGCAACGTGATCCAGCCCGTCAGCGCAGCCGTGGCCCAGACTCCTCAGACCATCCCCATCACCACCCTCCTGGTGAACCCCACTTCCTTCCCCTGCCCATTGAACCAGCCCCTTGTGGCCTCCTCTCTCCCACCCCTGATTGTTTCCAGCAACTCTGTGAGTCTTCCTGTTCCCTCCGCCCCTGAAGACAAGGCCCAAGTGAATGTGGACATTGCTTGTCCTTTGGTTGAAGGGAAAAATGCCTTTCAAGGCCTAGAACCCAAATTAGAACCCCAGGAACTATCTCCTCTCTGTGCTCCTGTCTTCCCCAAAGAGGAGCACAGCCCAGGGCCCCCAGCAGCAGATCACGTGTGCCAGGAAGAGCAGCCAGAGAACAGTGCCTGTGGCTGGACTCTGGTGAAGGCCGAGGATGGGAGGCAGGCTCTGGAGCCGCTGCCTCCAGGGGACTTGCAGGAAATGGTCAAGATGGAACCTCAGGACCCGGGGGAGGACGACTCCAGTGGGTCCCCAGGGCAGGACACCTGTGAAGACAGCAGAGAGGAACGTTCTGTGGCATTGGACGCTGGCTTCCCAGGTGAGGAGCCGAGTGGTCCTAGTGAGCTAAGGAGACAGCCAGCCTTCCAGCAGGAGGACGACAGAAGTGAGCTGGCTAGAACCTCGTCAGCTTCTCGGGAACCTCGGGATGAGGGAGACTCCGGAGATGTGAGCAGAGGGTCTCCCAAGATGGCTTCTTCCTGCGCCGACCCTGAAGTGCGCAGCAGCCCCCCAGGCAAGTCTGAGGACCTGGCCAGCGCCGTCGGCCAGGCGCCGGGGGTCCCAGCTGGGCCGGAAGCTGGGGGCGAGAAGGACGGGCCGGAGGAGGAGGAAGAGGAGGACTTTGACGACCTGACCCAAGATGAGGAGGATGAGATGTCCTCAGCCTCTGAGGAGTCTGTGCTCTCGGTCCCGGAACTCCAGGTGAGAGTGGGGAATATTCTCCGGTGTTCTGTGGCCTCAGTAGTTTGCTTGATTTGTTGACAGGTCACCTGCTTGCTTGCTGCACTTAGTCCTCCTGTCATTTTTTTTTTTAAGATTTTATTTATTTATTTGAGAGAGACAGCACGAGAAGGGGGAGGGTCAGAGGGAGAAGCAGGCTTCCCGCCGAGCAGGGAGCCCGATGCGGGACTCGATCCCGGGACTCCAGGATCAGGACCTGAGCCGAAGGCAGTCGCTCAACCGACTGAGCCACCCAGGCGCCCTCCTCCTGTCAGCTTATTTGACTTTTGAATACCGTGTGGGACAGTTTGGGGGCGGGGAGTTGAGGCGGGAGGGGAGGAAAAGGTGAACTTTTCCTTGGGTGTTAGGTGTGACTCAGTCACTAAAGCGTTAGATTGAATCACCTGCGCGCAATTGAAATGCCTAAACATGTAGATCGTAAGTGTGGACCCCAGCAAAGGAAAACGGTCTTCCCGGTATAAAATGCACCTTCCCCCACCTGCTGCTGGGCTGGCAGCCCAGCTCTCCCTGCGCCGGTGGCTTGTGGGGAGCCGGCGCCAGCCCTGCGGACGCTTTCGGGGGCTTTGCAGGAAACGATGGAGAAGCTGACCTGGCTGGCCTCTGAGCGGCGCGCGGGCCAGGAGGGCGAGTCCGAGGACGAGAACTCGCAGGAGGAGAACTCTGAGCCTGAAGAAGAAGAGGAAGAAGAGGCAGAAGGAATGGAGAGCCTGCAGAAGGAGGACGAAATGACGGACGAAGCCGTCGGAGACCCTGCTGAGAAGCCGCCGGCCACCTTCGCCTCGCCTGGGACTGCTCCGGAAGCGGAGGCCAGCAGCGCCCCGCCAGGTGAGTGGCGAGCCTGGTGTGCGGGGCGGGTCTCAGCCAGCCTCCTCTCTGAGTGCTGTGCCGAACGGCTGGTCCGAAAACCAGGTGTGAGATTTTAGAGGACGTCCTCTGGGGCGCCCCCCTGCATGCTGCCCTCCCCCAAACATGTTTGCCTGGAGCCTCTGCAGAGAAGCGTGCTCAGACATTTCAGATGTGACTTACCGGCTGCTAGGTTTGCATTAGGTTCACGCAAGCTTTTATGCTGGTTCTCAATCCATCTGTCACGTGCGTGGCTAAGAGCCACGTTTATTTGCGGTTCCTCACCGAGACCTAGTGCGTGAGAGCCCGGCATGAGCCCATGCTCCTGCTCCGGACTCCTGCTGGCTGCGTGCAGCAGCCGAGGGCCTCCTCCCATCCCGGGGGTGCGACTGTGCCGGCGCTGTGGGGGGCTGGCCTGCCACGTTCCCGCCAGCTGCTCCTGAGGCCATCCCGGACAGCCAGCGCGATTTGGGTGGGCTGGGTGCGTGTGGCCGAAGGGAGGAGTAGGGTTGTGGGGCCCGAACCACCGTCTGTCTTGCGTGTTTTCCCAGGAGAGAGCGGCCGAGCTGCTGGGAAGGGCCGGGGCAGTCAGCGAGTTCGCAGCAAGCGGGGAAGCCGGGCCCGGGCCAGCAAGGACACGTCCAAGCTGCTGCTGCTGTATGACGAGGACATTCTCGAGCGGGACCCCCTCAGGGAGCAGAAGGATTTGGCCTTTGCTCAGGCTTACCTGACCAGGGTAGGCAGGGACTGCTTCCCGCTACTGCCCGTCCCCCCAAACGCGGCCGCTTCTCCTTCCAGGGACCGGTGTTGAAAACAGAGTCTGATTTTCCGGCCGCACAGCTGCCTCGCAAGCCTCTGCCTTTGCTCTCTCCTGGAATTGCCCTCAGATCTGTGAGAGAGACAGGACCCAGGCTTCCGTCGTCCACAGCTTGTTGTGAATCCCTGAGCATCACCTCTCCGTTGTTCAGAAAGCAGGGAAAGGTGGCGCCGCCATCATCAGTGAGAGGGGTGACTTTGCAGGGTTGGCTAAAGCGGGGCCTTTCCCGAGCCCTCGGCAGGAGAAGAAAGACCTTTGGTGCACTGGCCAGAGAGTGGACTCCGGGAAGTGCCCTGGTCTTCGGAGAGCTGACCCCACTGTGCCTGGCAGCTGCCCTTGGCATGCAGCCATTTGGTTCCTTTATCCCCCCGGCGGTTCGGCCTGCTAGCAGTGATGGTCGTGCCTTCTGGTCTGCTGACAGTTTACCAGCGTTCCTAACGTATGCGCGGTTCCCCCCGTGGTACCATGTGGCACTGTGTGTGCAGAGCGCTCCTTGTCTATCTCAGTGACGGGCTGAGATCAGGAGGGAGAGGCTAGAGCCGTGGGCTGGAGACAATGCTCGCTTGGTTTTGTAGGGAGGGCTGTGGCCCCTGGAGAATGAAGGCGTTTTAGAGCCCGGCCAGCAGGGAAGGGGCGGTGGTGCCTGACTCACTGCTCCGTGTCCTCCGTGAGCAGATCTCAGGAGCCGTCGGAGGAGTACGCTCCGCAGGGTGGTTCTGGGGCTCTGTGTGGGGACTTCTCTTCCTCGATCCGTATGGCTCTTTCCTGTCCTGATGGCGGAACGTCTTCCCGCGTAGGTACGAGAAGCACTGCAGCATATCCCTGGCAAGTATGAGGACTTCCTGCAGGTCATCTATGAGTTCGAGTCCAGCACTCAGAGGCAGACAGCTGTGGATCTCTACAGAAGCCTGCAGGTTCTGCTCCAGGACTGGCCTCAGCTGCTGAAGGATTTCGCTGCTTTCCTGCTGCCCGAGCAGGCTCTGGCCTGCGGATTAGTGAGTGGACGCGTGAACGCCATACCCGGGGGGGCTGCTGGGTCCGGGGACAGGGGACCTGAGTAGAACTGGCTAACGCCATCCTTGTCTCTCGGCGGCTCCCGGTCAGACGGCCCTGCCTTGGCCCAGGGTGATCAGCGCCCCCTTGTTTTCAAGGGGTGGTCTTCCCGACCCCTTTTCTCCCATTTTCTTTGTATGTGCAATGAGGGGTTGTACCCTCGGTCGCCAGTGAAGACCGTGGGTGAATCACGCACCCTTTGCTCCTCCCTGTTGTAAAACAGGTGTTCGTTCCAGCAGATACTTACTGTGTGTGTCCAGTGCATCGTCAGGCAGGGTTCCCGGTCCTAGGAATATAGTAATTACAAAAGAATGATGTCCTTGCCCTCATGGAGTGTCCATTCTCTCGGGCAAAGTCAGGTGATAAACAGTAAAATATATATATAGTAAATGTATATAAGGATTATACAGTACATATGAACAGAAAAATGTGTATAATGCTTTTTAGCGCTAATGCCTTGTGGCCAAGTACATCAGGAAGGGGGACTAGAGAGCTGCAGGGGGCATGGGTGGGGGTGGGGGTGGGGGTGGGGCCTTGCAGTTTTATTTCGTACACGGTGGTCGGGGATGGCCACTGCAGAAGGTGACATTCGAAATGTTGGCCAGTAAGTGTGTACATGCGAGGGGTTAGTCCCAGGCGTTCAGGAGAGGGAGACCCAGGAGTGAAGGGTGGAGTGAGTTCTTCTGGTCGGCTCGAGGCGGTCCCGGGGCCCTGGGGGGGACGCACACCCGCACGTGCTCTCTCCCCGTGGGAGGAGCAGCATGGGTGCGAGCGCTCTGGAGACGGTGACGAGCTGCGGCGTCTGATGTCACAGCCCGTGAGACGGCCAGCGGCTTGACATTCGCACGTCCCCGGACGCTTGCCGCCCCGTCCTGGGAGTCTTGGGTTGGTTGCCTTTGCAGCCCAAGGTGCGCAGATGCCAGGGTCTTAGGCACCGTCTGGCGGCCGTAAACGGGGTCCCCGTCGCCCCCGCTCCCCGGCCCGACGCTCGCTCCGTGGCTGTAGCGCCGTCCGGTCCGCGCTCGCTGCGCCCGTGACGCTCTTGCTTTCTTTCCACTGGGGTAGTTTGAGGAACAGCAGGCGTTTGAGAAGAGCCGCAAGTTTCTCCGGCAGCTGGAGATTTGCTTTGCAGAGAACCCCTCGCACCACCAGAAGATCATCAGGGTCCTCCAGAGCTGTGCGGACTGCCTGCCGCAGGAGATCACGGAGGTGCTCTTCCCTGTTCTGCTGGCGCCCGGGCCCCTTCTCCTGCTTCTGGGGTTCTTGGACTTCCGGAGGGCATGAAGAAGGCGAGGACTTTTGTCGGCTTTCCCGAAGCATAAACCCCTGGAACGGGGGGTGCTTGTCCCCTGAAACCAGAGCCTGACTGAGCTCAGAGGCTCAGGTTGCCATCAGTGCCTGGAAGGGCAGTTCAGGGAAGGACGTGGTGGGGCCTGGGGCGGGACTCGCGTCCTCGCCGTGCTCGGGTTGCTGTCGGGGCTGGAGATGAGGAGGCCGGGGTGCGGAGTGTGGCCATCGGGGTCAGACGTGTTATTAAGCCCCCTGCAGTGTAGGCCTGCGGGCGGGGAGGGGTGCCAAAGAGGTCTTGGCGGTGCGGGCCCTTCCTCGGCTGTCCCTCAGCGGGCAAGGAGGGCGGGCCTTGGGGGCGAATGGGGCTGGTTCGCGACGGCAGCCTGCAGGGCCCTGGGCACTTCATCCTTCCCCCGACCACTCCCCCAGCTCAAGACGCAGATGTGGCAGCTTCTGAAGGGCCACGACCACCTGCAGGACGAGTTCTCCGTCTTCTTTGACCACCTGCGCCCAGCGGCCAGCCGGATGGGGGACTTTGAAGAGATCAACTGGACCGAGGAGAAGGAGTACGAGGTGCCGGCTCCGAGGCCGCAGCTGGGGAAGGGGGCGGGCCACGCGCGGGGGGGGGCCTGCCCAGGGTCTGCGCTGAGGGCCCCTGCTCCCCCCAGTTTGACGGCTTTGAAGAAGTGGCACTGCCCGATGTGGAGGAGGAAGAGGAGCCCCCCAAGATACCCACGGCCTCCAAGAGCAAAAGAAGAAAAGAGATTGGGGCCCAAAATCATGACAAGGTACCCCAGGTTGTGGGGTGTCACCCGCTTGCCGTAAAGCAGGCCTCGAGTTTTCTGCATGTTTCTCTGGCTGGCGCGGCGCACGGCCTCTGGGGCCCCAGGCGGTCGGGTCAGGCTGCAGAGCCCCCCGGGGGGCGGCGGGGAGGTGCCAAGGAGGCTCCCCCACAGCCGCCCCACTACAACGATGCTTCCCCCTCAGCTCTCTGGCTGGGAGTGGTTTCCCTCGCCCTTGGGTCTCGATTCCTTCCTTTCTGTTTGCGTGAAGAGGTAGAACCGAGCATCCCCACTTAGCAATATCGGTAACCGCCAATACTCAGCTGTGTGACGACAGATGCGTACCTCTCGGAGGTGTTGCACCCGGATCGTTCCCTCACTTCCTTCCACGGCAGGGCCATGAACGGATGGCTCTTGTTTGGATTTGACCGAAGAGGAAAGGGACGTGCAGCTCGAGGCTGGTGCCGGGGCCTCGTGTCTCCTAAGTGGCGGTGCTGGGGTGCGGACCCCGGCGGTCTGGAGTCTGCTCAGACTCACCGCCCTCCGCCGCTCGCCCAGGAGGAGTCTGTTTTCCTCTCCCTTCGGCAAAACTGCTTCTTAGCAGCGGGATGACCTAGGGCAGCTTACTGAATCTGTGTCAGCCTCTTCGTCGTTTGTGGGGGTAATAACGGTACTGTCATCTGGGGTCCCTGAACAGAGAGTGTCCCTGAGGGGGCCTCCCTGTGCACAAAGCAAGCCCCCCGCCCCGAAGGGGTCGGCGGAGGGGGCAGAGCCCCAGGTACAGGGACGCGGGAGCCAAGGTGGTCGGTCATCCCAGGACTTTGCCTCCGATTGTATCTGACTTCAGTATTGAAACATCTGGGCAGCTGGGCTAGGTCAGTCCTCTGGGTCATTGCAGGATCGTGGCAGGGAACTCCGGCAGGCTGTGATTGAGTCTCCCCAGGCCATGGGAAGAGCTGCAGTGCCGCCAGGGAGAAAGGGTGCTGGTCAGGGCGGCTTGCTCGGGTGGCCTGCAGCCCGTGTGCTCTCTGGGCATCACGCACCCTAGCTGGCCACTAACCAAGCCCAGTGTTTCCTAGGAGGCTGAGTGGCCGGATGGAGCCAAGGACTGTGCCTGCTCCTGCCATGAAGGAGGCCCTGACTCCAGGCTGAAGAAGAGCAAGAGAAGAAGCTGCGGCCACTGTGGCAGCAGGGTGAGCAGGGGCAGGGGGGACCGCGTGGGGGGCCGGGCGCCGTAGCTGCCTCACTGCGCTTTGCTGTCTGCTATATCCCCATCACGCAGTGTGAATGTGCGTGCGCCAAACAGAATCCTGTACAAGTATGTGATGGATTTTGCTTTTTGAAGATAATCCTGTGGGTAAGGAAGGCTTTTGAAATTGGAACAGTTTGAACCACTTCAAATATTTCTGATTTCTTTTTTTCTTTTCTTTCTTATGAAATACACAGACCCTAAAAGTAATGCCGGTTCTCTAGGGTAGGGTTGGCTGGCAGCAAAAATAAGAGTTCTTGGTTCGAGGAGTGGGAGAAGTAGACTTTAAAATTGTCAGTTGGGGGCGCCTGGGTGGCTCAGTTGGTTAAGCGACTGCCTTCGGCTCAGGTCATGATCCTGGAGTCCCAGGATCGAGTCCCGCATCGGGCTCCCTGCTCAGCAGGGAGTCTGCTTCTCCCTCTGACCCTCTTCCCTCTCGTGCTTTCTATCTCTCATTCTGTCTCTCTCAAATAAATAAAATCTTTTAAAAAAAAAAATTGTCGGTTGGCCTGCTGAACATCGTGGCCGGGTTGCTTCCCGTGCTCGGGGCCCTAAAACAAAGGTCGTGTGAGGATACCCTTGACCAAGAAGGCCGTTCCCTGCAGGTCTGTGACAGCAAGTCCTACAAGAGCAAGGAGCCCCAGGAGTTGGCGGGCAGCAGTCCCCACCGGGAGGCCAGCCCTGGGCCCGGTGCTAAGGAAGCCGGGCAGGGTAAGGACCTGCAGGAGGAGGAGGCCCCCGAGGAGCGAGAAAGCACAGAGGCAGCCCAGGAGCAGCCTGGTGGGAGCGCTGGCAGCAGGGGGACGCCTCTTCCCGGTGAGTGCTCTGCTTCTCAGCCCCGCCTCGGGCCCTGTGCCCACCTCATTCTGACATACTTCGAGCAAGAACGTCTTCGAGCCGACGCCCTGCCCATTAGGTTACTCAAGTAATAGGAAATCCTGTGTCTGGCCTTTGCTTTGCTGTGGCCTCTGCCCTCTGGCAGAATTGGGAGTGCTACCGCCCACATGATGCGTACTCTCTTCCCCTGCCCTCCTGAGCCCCGTGATCTGCACCCCGAGGACTCGGCCACCCTGGGCCGTGCCAGTGGGACCTTGTATCGCCGTATAAGCGACCTCAGGCCCCATCCTCGCCTCGGTCCTTGAGGTTGGGGCTCTGTCAGCGGTAACCAGCCTGCATGGCCCTGCGGCAACTCGGGGTTCTAGGTGCATCTTGACCCTGTCCATACCCTCAGATCTTTACTTTCCTCCTAAGCAGGACTGGCAGTGGGGAGCACTCCGCTCTCCCCTCAGGAGGTGACTCTTGCAGACCAGCTCGTCCTGGATGACCCACGGCCCTGCTCGCCGGAGACCCCTCGGCTTCCCTCCAGTACTGGGGCCATGCTCTGCACTGGGAGGAGAAGCCAGGCTGGGCAGGAGGTCCTCTCCTGCCCTCAGGCATCCCCCAGACTTCGGAAGGAGAGGGAGGACCAGGAGGCAGTGGGTGAGCCAGAGGCTTCCATGCCGGCCTGGGAGGCTTCGGAAATGGAGAAATGGCCTGGAACTGTTGAGCCCCCTGCTTCCTTCCTGAGTCCCGTTTCCTCAAGGACCAGAGACGTGGGGAGAACACAGGTATCTGAGAGATCAGATACTCCAGAGAGCTGGTTGCTGGCAGGCAGAGCTGCGGTGAAGACAGGAAACAGAAAGTCCCCTGTCCGTGAATCTCCTTCGTCAGGAATTGACACCTCAGAGACTTCTTCCAAAGCCCCTAGGGGAGGTCTGGCTAAGGACAGTGGAAACCAGGGCAAGGGTCCAGCGGGAGAGCCGCACCCGAAGGCCACAGAAGCTACAGTCTGTGCCAACAACAGCAAGGTCAGCTCCACTGGGGAGAAGGTGGTCCTGTGGACAAGGTAGGTAGGGGTGGACGACGTGTGTGTGTAAAATTCGTGGAACACATCCATGTTCCTAACCTGGGACTAATCGTGATGTGTGGTTTCCAGGGAAGCTGACCGCGTGATTCTCACCATGTGCCAGGAGCGAGGAGCACAGCCCCAGACGTTCAGCAGCATCTCCCAGCAGCTGGGAAATAAGACCCCCACCGAGGTAAGTGGCTTCAGCCCTGCTAGAGCTTCAAGCCCCAGGGAAACCGAGGAAGGGACAGGGTGGCCAACCGAGAGACAAGCCCCAAGGGCCCAGAGGAGGGGCTTGACTCATCAGGGCACGTGGCAGTGGTTGTAGAAGAGAAAAGGCACTGGATTTCGAGGTAGAAGTCCCAGAGATTCCATTCTAGTTTGTTTTTAGGGCCAAACCTGAAGCCTCTTGAGTTCCCTCATCTGTGGAGGGCGTAGCCCTCGCCACCTTACTGCGTGGAGCGGACAAGATTGTTCCCGTCCGTGTACCGCGCTTAGTGTGTGTGGGAATTGCACCTTCTCGCCTTAGGTTTCCCACCGTTTCCGAGAACTCGTGCAGCTCTTCCACACGGCCTGCGAGGCCAGCTCCGAGGACGAGGAGGACGCGACCAGTACGAGCAACACAGACCAGCTGTCAGACCGCGGGGACCTTCTGTCCGAGGAGGAGATGGACGGGTGACTGGGCGCGCGTGCCCGTCGTCTGCACCTCCTGCCCCCGCCGGCCCCCCGAGGGAGGGCGCTTGTACTGTGCCGGGCTGCCCCTGAGCTCGGGACACAGAGCCGCAGGGGCTGAGGGCAAGGACAGAGGCAGACCGGGGGCTGGGCAGCCGTGCCCGCGTAGGCGTCGCTCAAGGTCTTCAGAAGCTACGTGTACTCGGCCCCCCGGGGCGGGGGGGTGGGGAGCTCCTTTTTTCCCCCTTGGTCCCACGGCGCGTATTTATTGTTGAGACCTGACCACGGCGTTTCTAAATGTAGCCCATGCCTGTGCGGGTGTAGCCAGTCCCAGAACACTGAGTCCTGCACCCACGGCGTTTATTGTAAAGCAGCGCTTTCCTTTGCTTGGAACACCTCAGTCCGCGAGGCCGTCCCCACCCTGGTAGCACTGGGCCAGACTGCCCAGCTCCTGCAGCGCCTCTTCCACGTCCCCCTGCTCCACCCCGGCGTCCATGAAGCTGGCCCAGCGCCGCACGTCCAGTTTGCCGAGCTCTCTAGCCAAGTCTCCCAGGGCCCGGCCCAAAGTGGAAGAGGAGCAGAGGGCCCCAAGCACTGGGATGCTCTCCACGGCTGTGGGGGGACAGAAAGGGGAGCCTGCCTTGGGCTCTGCTGCCAACAGGGAAGTCTGGGTCTGCGGCAGACCTGGCTGGGGCATGAACCCCGTGAATCCTGTGTGCTGTCCCCTTGGCAGACCAGTGCTCCAGAGGAAGCCACTTCCCTCAGTGGCTTCAGTGGCCTCAGTGAATAAAGGGACTTTTACCTGTGGACTTCCATGCCTCCCTCTGGTCACACATATAGTGCAAGCTCTCATGTCCCTTCGCCACCCACGTACCTGCCCCCGATGGCGGGCCATCCAGAAGCAAACCGTGCCGGCCGAGGCTTGGGGAAAAGAGGCAGGGGTACGGAGGAACCACCTTGCACGGCGCCAGCAGCAGGTGGGCGGAGCTGGGGGGTGAGAGCAGCAGCTGAGCGAGAAGAAGGGGAGCAAAGTCGGGTGTGGGCGGGGAGAACCAGCCTCACACTGACCTCCTGACTCTAGGCTGCTGCTGCTGCAAATACTGGGCCAAAACGTCTTCCCCAGTGTCGCACGCATGGAGCGGTGAAGGCAGACGTGTCCCTGGGGCGAGCCGGCTGCCGGAACAAAGCCAAAACCACCTTTAGTCTGCCACAGTGTGGATATGGAGCTGGGAAGTCTTGGGTTCCCAGGCCATCAGCTGAAGCGGGGTGCTGAGGGTCTCTCTCAACGTGGGGCAAAGGGAGGAAGAGGCGGTGCTCTTCGGACATCCAGCAGTGTCAGGGAGGGAAGGATGTGCGGCAGAACTCTGACAAGGGCTCCTAAGAACCACCCGTCCTCACCTGGTGTGGCATGCTTTGTCTAGACCCCGCAGCACCACTGACTGGGCAAAGCATGTTCCAGAAGGATCCCCACATGCAGACAGTGGGGTCCATGCCGTGGCTCCTCCAAGCTGCACCAGGGCATCAGGAAGGCACTGGCCTGGGACCAAGGGGAAAGGGATGGTTGCTGCTGCCGTCACCACCTAAAGGTAAGGGAGAGATCCAGTGACTGAGCTGCTTCTCGGTGCTGGCCCGACCCTTCACAAAGCTCCACACCTTTTTCCCAGAGGAGTTCAGCATATCAGCCAGATGAACCATGGAAACTGGTGAGGAACGCAGGCGGTAAGGAACAGTGACTGTGTCCAGGGCTGTAGCCAGAATGGCAGCACAGTGGAAGGGCAGAGTGGCCTGTACAGAGGATAGCGACAAGGGCACTTAGCGTTTTGGGTCTGGAGAGCAGAGCATGGAGGCAGAAAGCATCTGGACCTCTCTGCCATGGCAGAGAGGTCCAGGTGCTTTGGGACAAAGCAGGGTTGTGCTTGGCCCGAGGCTGGGCAAGCGGAGGACAGTGTGCTGTATCGTGGCTGGGTTCAAGCCGAGGCTTCGCGAAGAGGGCTGGCAGGGCGGCGGTGGGCGGGCGCTGCTCTACCTGCCCATCTGAACAAGAGCCCGAGCCTTACGTCATAACGGAGGTGCGGGAAAGTGACCGGAGGCTCAGGCCGCAGTCCCAGGCTCCTGCCCAAGGACAAGGGGCAGACCAGAGAGCTGTGAGCAGACATGTGCACCAGGCCAAAAGCTGTGTTCAGCAGACGATAGATGTTCTTCTGGGGCTCCTGGGGAAAAAAGGGTAATTGGTTTTAAGCAACTTTCTCCCTGGGCTGTCATCGCCTCATTTTTCCCTCCCTGCCCCTTGGGACTGCCTTGTCCCCAGGTTCTGCTCACCCCAAGACTGTAGGGACCAGGGAGAAGGCCCCAGGTTATTATTCCCCGCCCCGAATACTCGTCCTGTAGCAACTCTGTGGCCTTTGCGCCTACCCCAGAGAAGCCATTGTGCAGGTCACACAGGATCTGGAAGCCCTGGAAGGAGGCGAATGATGACAGAAAGGACGAGGCAAAGCATCTGCCCGTGTCCCCCGGGCCCCCCGCGCCCTCCGGCTACCTGCAGGTAGTCACATTCCTCCACGTAGAAGTGCAGTCTGTCCTCCAGCTCTTCCAGGTACCTGGGCTCCTTCAGGACACTCTCGCCTTGGCCAAAAGCCTCCAGGCGGCCTGCTTCCCTGCCGTGTATGAACACCGTCCTGACTTGCAGGAGCCCCGCCGTTCATCCTCCCCCACCCCCCAGGCCACGATCCTGTGTTTGGGGAGGGCGGGGAAGGAGGCCTCCAGAGCCCTAGTCAACATCGGTGGGCACCCAGGTCCTTGCTCCACAGCCTCTGCGGCCCCCATACCCATCATGGTTGTACTTCTGAATCATACAGATGCTCCGGGGATGGAGATGGACGCGCAGGAAATCTGACCAGACTCTGCTGCTGCTCTCTGTGGGGACAAGTGGTTTGGGGGCTGTAGCGGCGGTGAGTGGCGGGGGACCTGAAGGAAAAGCAAAGGCAAGGCACATTGCTTCGTGTTCCGCTCGCCCGGTTCCCTGTCCCATAGCACCCGGCAGAAGTCTCACCTTTGCCATTGGGGATGGATTTGACCCTCCAGATACCATCACTACTCAGCACTCCCTGGGAGGGATGAGAAACATCTGCATTTAGCTCCAGCCGGTCCAGAAGCAAAAGTTAATTCATCCTCTCTGATTTTGCTGGCCACACCCTACAGCCTCCTTTCATTCATGGAGTCACATTTCTTTAAGAAAAAGTGCTTTTTCCTAAAATGCCGTTCCAAGCTAACATTTAAGATGATCAAAATCCTTTTTTTTTTTTTTTTTCCTGTGCCCCAATGGGGGCAATCTAGTTATAGCGCTGGGTTTAAAAGCTTAGAGCAGGGGCGCCTGGGTGGCTCAGTTGGTTAAGCAACTGCCTTCGGCTCAGGTCATGATCCCGGAGTCCCAGGATCGAGTCCCACATCGGGCTCCCTGCTGAGCGGGGAGTCTGCTTCTCCCTCTGACCCTCTTCCCTCTCGTGCTCTCTGTCTCTCATTCTCTCTCTCTCAAATTAAAAAAATAAAAAATAAAAAAAATAAATAAAAGCTTAGAGCAGAGGCCCTCACCTCTGCAGTCAGAAGGTCCTGGAGATAAGGATTTTGGGGATAGAGTTCCTCCTTGTGTGTGGTGAGCTTTCCCTGCCTGAAAGACGATAGAGGTTGGTTGATGACAGGGACGGTTTCACTGATGCTCAGGCTTCCTGTGCACATCCCCCCTTCTCTGAGGACCACAGATACCATGCTATCGCTGCATCTAGCTGTCTGTCCCCGTAGAGGCCACCTTCTTGTTTTAGGGAGCTCAGACTACCTGTACAAAAGAGAACGGGGGCTGTTAGGTCAAAGCCTAGCCCCTCCCCGCCTTCAGCTAATCTTCCTGGGGTCACCCGACAACCTGCTGCCACCCTCCCTCCAGCCCTTGGCTCTTCCAAGCTTTCTTGAATAGACAGGAGGTGGAAAAAGCCTTTGTCTAGGACAATCTGGGCACCATCCTTCCATTCCCAGCTCAGCCATGAGCTGTGGGGCCCTTCGAGAGGGCCACGATTCACCACCTCGCCGACTCCAGGAGCGAGGAGCCCGTTCCAGAGTCGGGTCGTGAACGGAATAAGGCTGTGCCCTCCCGTGGCCAGCGGTGCCCGCGGCTGCTCCTCGCTGGTCCTGCAGCCTGGGGCGGACGCGAGCGCCGCACGCCCGGGGGACGCCTGGGCGCTGGCTGACCCCGGCCACCGCCTCACCCTTCAGATCCATGAGGATGAGCCTGGGCGTGTAGGTGTCCTGGCCGTACGGCGTCCTGCCGGCCCGGTACAGGACGTCGGGACACAGCTCCCCCGGCGGCTCCCTGGCATCGGCCGGGTCGCACAGCGCAGCATCCTGGGGTGACACAGAAGAAGAGGGCCCGGCCTCAGCGGGGACCGCAGGGTCGGGCCGGTGGCAGCGGCCCCTCGGGGGCAGCCGGCCGGAGGCCTCACCTGCTGGTTCCACCAGTGCGCTCCCACGAAACCTGCGAAGTGGCCCAACTGCAGCGTCAGCACCTCCCGGGCCCCACCCGCCATGCCGCTCGGCTCCGCCGGGTCGCGCAGCCGCGACCGACCGGCCAGGCCGCCGCTCGGTGCCGATTGGTTCGTAGTCTTGTGGGCGGGACCTCGTGCCCCGTGCTCTATTGGTGCACCGACACATCCTTTCCCATCAGATAAGCGATTCGTCGGGAGTCGGAGGCCCCGCCCACACCCCGGCGCGGCCTGCGTGGGACGCGCTCGCTGGGGGCCGGGCCCGGCGCGACCGGAAGCAGCGGGGCGAGCGGTGGGGCCTGGCCTGGCGGTCGGTTCCCCGTCGAGGCCGCGGTCTCGGCTCAGGGGCTGCTGCTGCCTGGCCGACGGCGCCTCAGGAGACACACCCCTGGCCCGGAGACTAGGCGCCCCTCTTCCCGCGCCGGTCACAGCCCTCCTGGCCTCCGACTGTGAGGACTCGCCTGGCTCCGTGCCACCTTACGGGAATGAGGCGCCCTACGCGGTCCTTTGCTCGACGTTGTCGGAGCAACGCGTCCCCACCCCTGCGTGTACTTGCAGCCCCTTCCGTGGCCTCGTTGTGCGGGGACTCCGCAGCCCAGGGCTCCGCTGACTCGGGGACCGGGGTCACTCCAGCGTGCGGCCGGCGGGGTGAGGGCTCGGGGCGGACGCGTGCGGTCGGAAGGCTGCGCTCGGGCTTGGTGACAGCGCAGACTGTCTTCTCAAACTCGTTACCGCTGGCACCCACCGGTGCAGGGCGGTTTGAGATGGTGCTCCGTAATCTCTGAAGACTGCAGTCCTAATCACTGGTGGTAATTACGAGGATGAGAGCTCTTTTTCATACGTTTATGAGCCATTTGGATCTCCGTGTTTTGTGAACTGCGTGTTCAACTCTCTTGGCCGTGTTCTTTGGGGTTGTCTCATTGATTTGTAGCAGTAAGTACTTTATTGGGGATACAAACCCTTTGTCAGTTTTATGTGTTGGAAATACCTGTCCTGTCACTCTGGTTGCCTCTTCCTTTCCTTAAAGGGAGTTTTTTTTTTTTAGGAGAATAGAGGTTTGTTATTTTGTCTTTTTAAATGTAGTCACATTTATGGACCTTTTCAAATATTACTAATGCTGTTTATGTTATGTTCTGGGCTTTTGCTCGTGTCTGTTCCAATTTCACAGGATATTTATTTATTTTTATTTATTTATTAGAGAGAGAGAATGAGAGAGAGCACGAGAGGGAAGAGGGTCAGAGGGAGAAGCAGACTCCCCGCTGAGCGGGGAGCCCGATGTGGGACTCGATCCCGGGACTCCAGGATCATGACCTGAGCCGAAGGCAGTCGCTCAACCAACTGAGCCACCCAGGCGCCCTCACAGGATATTTAAAAAGTGCCTTAGAGTCCCCAAGGAGACTAAAAAAGGGGAGGGTGTTAGGGGTGACAGAACAGCAGCTAAATAAATGTAGAAGGAAGGATAGAATTTAGATTGCAGCCATCAGTTTAACAATGTATTCAGATGAGGACCATCAATGGATGTTAAAACCTTTGGGTGATAATTTATGGGAAAACAGGATAGTTTCAGGATTTCACAGTAATACTCTGCTTGTTCATTACATTGAGAAAGCTCCTTTTACAATGATGGATGCCAGAATTAACCAAGTGATCAAATTTAGCATCACCAGAATGAAACCAACTGCAGTGATGTCAAAGTGTGGTAGATAGAAAGCATCAGCTGTGTATCGTGTTTGCCAAAAGTGTTTAACCTGTATCTGAAGGGAACAATGAGACAAATCCAGAATGTGGACAGTCTGTAAAATAACGGGCCTGGCATTTTCAAAAATGTCAAATAACAGAAAAACCAGAGGGTCTATTGAAGCTAAGAGGACACTAAAGAGATATTTCAGCGTAAATGTAATTTGTGAACTTTGATTGGAACCTGGATTGGAGCAGGGGTGGGGTGGGGCAGCCATTGGGATCACTGGAGAAATTTAAAATTAGAGCACATTAAAAAAAAAAAATAAAGCACATATTAGATAGTACATTGTGTCCATGAAGGGTTTCTTTGGTGGGTTAATGATATCCTGGGTATGTAGAAGATCTTACTCCTAGGAGAAACGTGATAAAAGACGTGTCTGCAATTTACTTTCAAATGATGACACAAAGGAAATAAATATGTAGAAAGATAAAGCTGGTGTGACAAAAGGTTAACGGTTGAATCTAGGTGAAGGTTATATGGGATTCTTTGGTATAGCTCTCTGCATTCCTGTAGGCTTGACAGTTTTCAAAACAGGGTAAGAGGTGAGAGTGTGTCTTGTCTATTCTGGGCTTTTTTATGTCCACAAAATATTTAGAATGAGTTTGTCAAGTTGCACAGAAAAATTTAAAAATCTCTAGGTGTTTTGATTGGGATAGCCTTGCATCTCTGTAGATCGGTTTGGGGAGAGTTGACACCTTTAAAGTAGTAACTTTTCTAGTTTATATTCTACCATTGATTGAGGCCTTTTAAGTTTTCTCCAATAATATTTAATAGTTTTATTTATAAACATCATATACATACCTTGTTACATTGGTTTTATCTATTTCTGTTGCTACTGTAAATGAAATCTTTAAAACTTTTATTTTCTGTTGTTACGGAGAAATGCAGCTGATGTGTATACTGACATACCCAGCACCACTGCTGCGCTCCCTTAGTAATTTTAATAATTTATCTGTAGACTGTCGGATTTCTACACCATCATATCCATAAATAATGATTGATTGTATTTATCCCTTTCCAAATCTTATATATAACATTTTGTTTTCCTCATCTCAGTGTATTGACTAGGAAGAATGGTGTGGAATCAAATGTCTTGCTCCATGCCCCCTCTCCCCCCCGCCCCATCTCAAGGGGAAGCTGTAACCCTTCACCTCTGAGTCTGATGTGGACTGAAGATTTTTTTTTTTTGAAGATTTTATTTATCTGACAGAGAGAGACAGTGAGAGAGGGAACACAAGCAGGGGGAGTGGGAGAGGGAGAAGCAGACTCCTCACTGAACAGGGAGCCCGACTCAGGACTCGATCCCAGGACCCTGGGATCATGACCTGAGCCGAAGGCAGATGCTTAAGGACTGAGCCACCCAGGCGCCCCTGATGTGGACTGAAGAATTTTTGTCGGTACTCTCTGTCGGCTTGTGGGAAGTTGTCTTCTGTTTCTGGTTTACTAAGAGTACTTTTTCCTTTTTTTTTTTTTTTTAAAGATTTTATTTATTTGAGAGAGAGAGAGAGCACAAGCAGGGGGAGGGGCAGAGGGTGAAGTAGGCTCCCCGCTGAGCAGGGAGCCCGATGTGGGGCTCGATCCCAGGACCCCGGGACCATGACCAGAACCAAAGGCAGACGCCCAACTGACTGAGCCACCCAGGTGCCCCTAAGAGTTCTGTTCATGAATGATTTGGAATTGAAGAAAACTTTCTCTGAAGGTGATAATTTTATTCTTCCTTTGTTTTGCTAATGGGATAAATTACATAGTTTTTTCATTTTTTATTGGAGTATTGTTAACATAGGTGTTATATTTCACGTGTACATAGGTGTTATATTAGTTTCGCACATACAATATTATGATTCAACGGTTCTGTAAATTTCTCAGTGCTCAAGATAAGTATTCTTATTACATAGTTTGATTTTTTTTTAAATAATATTTTTATTTATTTGAAAGAGAGACAGCAAGAGTGAGAGACGGAACACAAGCAGGGGGAGTGGGAGAAGGAGAAGCAGACTCCCAGCTGAGCAGGGAGCCCGATGCGGGGCTCGATCCCAGGACCCTGAGATCATGACCTGAGCCGAAGGCAGGCACTTGACCGACTGAACCACCAGGTGTCCCTGGATTTTTTACTTTCCAATCCATGCAGTTGAGTAAGAGAAGCCCCAAGAGACCAGTTGTGGGGCAGGTGCAGCATGGAGACAGTAGCAATCAGGGCGTGAGGGTCAGGTCTGTAGAAGGATCTTAAGAAAGAGGACTGGACAGAGTAGATTACAGATGACATTTAGCGAATTACAGAAGTAATGATGCTAATTCATCAGCGGGATCTTTGTACATCTCTGACGGTCTAGCCCTACAACTTCGTGTTCCACATTCATTAGCGAAAATGAGGCCTACTGATCCTGACTTGCGCCGCCCAGAGATGGAAGCCACTGTCCTGGCCTCCTCTGCAGTGGAGGTCAGGTGCCCATTCAGACACGGTCCCAGCGTCCGAGTGTAGAGCGGATGCAGCCCTTGCCGGAGGTTGTGGGCGCCACTTCATTCCTTCCCTTTTCAAATGAAATGAGTGTGAGGGCACTCAACTTACAAGACAGACTCCTGACAGGGAAAATTTCCAAGCTATGTGGAAACACCAAAGTACAGAAGAGAACGCTCCAGTGTTTAAAAAAAACCCAATTTATGTGTGCACTTTTATCTCCAGAATTTGGTAACAGAAGTTGCTTCTAGAAAAGGAGGCAAGAAAGGAGGCTGATTTCCATGATACATGGTTCTTTATGGTTTGAACATGGCTAAACAGTAGGAATAAAGGTGTATGGAAGCCGCCCAATGATCCAGCTGCAGGACAGCTCAGGTCACTGGCCCTGTGTAGGGGACTGATGGGGCGAGGCAGGGGTGTGGGTAGAGAGCAAACTGGCAAACGTGTAGGAGCTCAAACAGGAGGTGATGGGTGTGACAGCAGTCTGTGAGGATGGAGAGGACAACGGGCTTTGACTCTTGGGAAGACAGAGCTGAAGACCGGACCGTCCATCGTGGGGGCATGTCAGGGTTTGGAACAGGCCTCCAGCCTCCCGGAGCCGGGGGCTGATGGAGCAGGCGCTGTAGGGTGGGGGTCTGGACCCCAGGCCGGCCGACCTGACTGAGGACTGGGTCGGGGCGAAGGTTGGGTTCTGAGAGGGAGCCTTGAGGCGGTTTGAGTGGGGGAAGCTCACTCTGCAGCGAAAATGCTTCTGCACGTCCACAGACCGTCTCCCTCGTGGCCTATAAAATATCGTGGTCTATTTTATAGGCCAGATAAAGCGCTATAAAATCAAGTCCAAAATGGTAGCGACCGACCACTGAAGGAGTACCGCCCACGTGTGCGGCACTTTACACACACTGTGTGATTCAGTGCTCACAAACGGCCCCAAAAGTTCGATCAGGTGACACAGGGCAGGACGGGGGCTGCGGGGCCCCGGGACGGCTGGTAAGTGGCAGCTGGGGCGCAGACTTGGCCTCGAGTGCTACAATGGGGGTAGGACAGGGAATTCAACGCCACGGAAATTGATTGGAGTCACTATTTTCTCAAATCTCCCCAAGCTGCCACGCACATGTGCATGAAGGAGGAGGGGCTCCCTCCATCCGTCCGTAGTGCTGGGGCCCCTGCAGAGGCGACCGTGGGAGCCAGCGGACCGGCGTGGGAGGGAGAACTTAAGGGGCAAATTCGATCTCCTGACCTAAATCAAGTCTGGAAATAGAACTAGTGGAAATTTCTGCAGAATCTGGTCTCTTCAGACCCCTCGCAAGCAGAATGCTGGAGAAATTCAATTTGGCCAATCGAAGGCTCTTTCCATTTTATAAATCTAACACAACACTTTAAGAAAGATAATTTATTTAAGGGAAAGATCCATAATTACTTAAAACATGAAAACTCCACTTAATAAACTAGTTTCAGGAACAAGAAGACAGGCCACTACCGTCAGTCTTCACCAAAGGCTGGGAGCTGACTTGTCCTGGCCACGTCCCGTCTGACTGGGTCCGGGACAGGAAATGGCCCCTGTCTTCCAGGCAGGCCGTGACCGCAGCTTAAAGGTAGGCGCAGAGCCGCTCCAGCTGCCCGGGGTTTGCGTTACTCAGGAACAGCAGCTCCTTCTTCCCTTCTTCCGTCTGAGCTAAAGGGGGGGGGAGACACACACAGCTCGCAGCTCTGTCTGCAGCACCGTGCTGCCCAGAAAATTCTGTGCTCAGAGGCTACGTGCTCCAGATGGTGCTGGAATGTAATGACCACTGCCGAGAGACCGCACTTCTAGATTCGTCTTCCCAGCAAACGATTCTTTTTTCTCTTTTCCTCTGTAATCTAGCATCTGTCTCTCCCTCTGTTCCAAGAACATCTTCTGGACTCTCGGACTCTGTCAGATGCCGACCCCCTCCGAAATCTCTGCACTGTGCCTCCTGGCCTACCAAGTGCTGAGGCTGCTTTCTACTCCTCCCTCTAGTCTTCGAACGACCCCCTCCAACGGCAGCTAGCTCGCTCTCACCCAGCGACAGAATCACCTCGGCCTCTCCTCCGCTCACCCGTGCCGGGGGGCGGAGGGCAAGGCAGCAGCGCACGGCCCAAGGCGCTCGTGTCCGCAGACCGGGGACAGCCGAGCGAGGGGCTGGCCCGGCGCCGGCTGGCCTCTCACTCGCACGGGGCTGGGCTTCCAGCGTGAGCATCTCATCTGACGTGAGAGTTTGGGAAGAGATGCACTGTCTTGTAACCACCCCCCGTCCCCCTACCTTTCCTACCGCCCCATCGGCCAGAGAGAAGTCAAGACAAAGGGAGAAAGACAGTGCAGGCTGCTGCCGCGGGAGGAAATAAGGCTCTGACTCGGTGAGGCTGAGTCAAAGCCTGGACGGAAAGTTCGATGACTGACCTTTCTCATGTTGAAGCCAGCTGTTCTCCAAATAATACTGAACGCAGCTTTCAAACTCCTTTGGGCTGTAGTTGGAGACCAGGATGGGAATAAAGGGATCCAAGGCATCAAATCCTTCCTGGAGAAGGAAGAATATTAAGTGACGAGTCAGCAGAGAGAGTGGCCTGACTTAAACGCTTTGCTTCCCCTCTGCTCCTCGCTGTCTGGCCACCCCGCCGTGCACGGGCACCACACCGGCCTGTACTCGTGCGAGACGGAACGGCCGGTCTGTGTGCAGACATAGTTGCAATTCTGATTTTCACAGTTCTGACTTCAACAGTCAACAACCACTTTGACGGTTCATAAACTCAAAAACAGAAACAAAATGAACAAGGGTGGCCATAAAGACCCATTAAATGGAACATACACTGAAACAAAAGAATCCATCAAACTGTATTTCAATTTTCAAACACAATACTGAAGGGACAAGGGACCTGAGTTCACTTCTGAACAGAGCACCTGGACGGAAGACGCTGCCGAGAAAGACAAAAACCGCGCCATGCAAATACCGAGCTCTCGTCTGCACCATGTCATTTGCACGAGCCTGGGGCTGGCAGCTGGGGACCGACTCTCCCTGTGGGCTCGGACGGTGTTCGTCCCGCTGGAGAGAAGGCTCCCGCACACGGGAAGGGGGGCGGAGGTGAGGCTGCACTGCTGGCCGGGATCAGTCTGCACTCACGGGCTTTTCACAGGAATTGGGAAACGCAGAGATGTGCGTGGGCATGTATGTGCAGACACGTGCACACAGCACACGTACATGTGTGCATCTATTCCTAGACTGCACTGGGAGGCCTACAGGAAGTGACACCCCAGCAGCAGTAAGCACACCTAGCACTCGGGTCCTGGAATCTATAATCCAGCCCATGCTCCAGAGGTGGGGCATTCGGTTCCACCTCTGGAAGAAGGGAGCATATTTTAAACATTTTGTTTAAAAGTGAGCTCCAGGGACACCTGGGTGGCTCAGTCGGTTAAGTGTCTGCCTTGGGCTCAGGTCATGATCTCAGGGTCCTGGGATCGAGTCCCCCTCTGGGCTCCCTGCTGAGCAGGGAGTCTGCTTCTCCCTCTGCCTGATGCCCCCCCCCTGACGCTTGTGCATGCTCTGTCAATTAAATAAATAAAATCTTCAAATAAATAAAAGTAGGCTCCACACCCAAGGTGGAGTTTGACCTCATGACCTTGAGATCAAGAGTCACATGCTCCATCGACTGAGCCGGCCAGGGCCCCCCCGCCCCGGGACTTGGTATTCACATACCACTCTCCTCTACAATGAACCAGGGCTGCCTGCGGAGTGGTTGATTCTAGGCCTGTGGCATGGAAAGTACAAGATGAGTGGGGAACATCTGTATTCCTTGCCAACAAGAAAGCAGGGGCTCAAGAATGATGGAGGCGTGTGAAGAGGACACAGAAGCCAGTTCAAAGGGGCGTCTGCTGGCCAAATCTGGAATAATTTCAGCACCAAAACAGAGATCGATAGTAAAAGTTTAGAACTCATGAAAGAGGAGTCTGCGTGTCCACGATGAAACAAGTAACTGTAAGGGGAAGGAACGTTCTCACATGTAACAGAATGCCAACCAACACACGCAGAAGAAATGAGGGAGCTGGAAAATACCATTCTGCAAGTATCCCAGCCGGGTTTAGGGAAGAATCACAAATGAACGCTCCGACCAGTAAGGGGCGGCATGTGAGGACTACCAGGATAGTTACACAGCCTCAGCGTGAGCCTCCACAGTGACTTTACCGAGGACACAGCAGATGGACGGCACCTGAACCAAGTGTTCAGACTTCACTGTGGCGGCTGTTAGGAGAGACACCATCCGGAGAAGTCACCGGACAACCCACAAAACCACCATGACTGGCAGGTACTCTTCAAAAGGTTGTAAGAGACAAAGACCGAGGTGCTGTCCCAGAGTGAAGGGACCGAAGAACCAGGACAATCAAATGGGACGTGTGATCCAGGACTGTTTCTGTGAAGGACACTGGGAGACCTGGAAAGATCACAGCCCGTCCTAAAGGTAAGTTCCCAGAATTATATCGATGCCAGTTCCCTGATTTTGATAATTGTGCTGTGGTTATATATTTAGAATGTCTTCGATTTTAGGAAATACACATTTCGAAGCAGGCAGCATGTCTCAGGTAACTGTCACATAATTCAGGGAAAAAAGTAGGTGGAAAAGAATAAAGCCAATATAGAAAAGCGTTAACACTTTAGGAACCTGGATGAGTCATACAGGAATACGATTTTTCTCCAAGTCTATAATTATGTTTTAAAAAAACAAGTAACAAAAAAACCTCTTCAGACAGAATGACCATCTAAGGGGAACCAGATTTTCTGATGATCGGACCTTTCCCAGCAGCTCCTGGGGCAGATAGGCCTTCCGCGGTTTAAAGAGGGACCCAGTCTGGCTCAGCGTCAACACAATGGCGCCTCCGTGCTGAAAGAGAGGGCAAGAGGCCGAATGAGAAAAAGGTGGGAAACACAGAAAAATGCATTTTAGTCATCTGTAGATTTTCAGTCCAGGTAGATGGCAACTGAATAGGTTATTAGCCCTGGATTCGGCTCTGACCACAAACTGCTACATGATCTCACATCGATAATAATCTTTTCCAAAGTTGGGAAGATACAAAAACACTCTGAACTGCCAAGTAAAATTGTGCCAATACTTAAATACAACGGCTACTTCCCAATCCAGTGGGAAGATCAGAAACCAAATACATAAGACTTTATTTATTTTTAAAGATTTATTTGAGAGAGAGAGAAAGAGAGGGAGAGAGCATAAGCAAGGGGAGAGGCAGAAGCAGGCCTCCCGCCGAGCAGGGAGCCCGATGTGGGGCTCGATCCCAGGACCCCGGGATCATGACCTGAGCCGAAGGCAGCCGCTTAACCGACTGAGCCACCCAGGCGCCCCTAAATACAGAGACTTTAAACAAAGAAACTTCTGTCCCTAAACTCGGACACGGACGAGTAGTGGGCGTCCCGGACACTCACCCAGTCGTTCCTCACCATCTTCCTCAGGCCGCGCACGAGCGCCAGCTCCTCAGGGGCCATCTGCACGCCGCCGGTGTGGGGGAGGGGCAGAGGTCAGGCCGAGCTGCGCCCGGACGCTCCCCGGGCACAGACGACTGGCAACAACTCGAGCAGCCTCTGAGAGGGGAGGGCCGCCAGCCGAGGCCCCGACTGCGCCCCCCCTTCCCCCCCCCGCCCCGGCCCGTTTCGGACGAAAACCAGTCACCGAGGGAGAGCACGCCCCCCTCCCGACACCGCGGCTCTCTTGTGGCCCGAGGCCAGGTGCTCTGGCCACCACGCTGCAGAAACCAGTCACCCAGCCTCCTGAAAATAGAGCCGCAAGAAAAACGGACAAGACACAGCTTCTGCTGCGGGGGTTCTTTTCCAAATACCCGCTTTGAGTTTTCAGTGCATGGGGGGGCCCCCACACCCCCCTCTCCCCCAGGTGCCATTTTTCTGCTACATCTTCATTCACACGCTCCTAAGGCCAGCAAATCTGCGCGGACCGCGAGGCCACGTCCCCGCCCGCACGCACCGCGGCGCCAGGGGTCAGCGAGACCAAGGAAACTCCGTTTTCCTACCGGGCTCTTATCTTCTCTCTTCAGCGTGGTCCTTCCCCAGAGAGCGTTGACGCCATCCACCGCCACCAGGAGGCGGAAGGCACCCGAACCACTCTGACTCTTGAGCTCTTTGAGAACGATCCCGACGGCATCTGTGGCATTCTTCCCCCGCGTCAGGCCCTGCAGGGAGGAGAGGCAGGGGGGCTTGCGGGCCCACAGGAGGCCGCCTCCGGAACGACACAGTACCCAGCCCCTGTCTTTTTTATACCTGTTCAACCACTTCTCCCAGAGGACGGCCCTTCTCAGTGCTTTCTCGCTTATTCCAGACGTACTTCTCCTCAACTTTTATCTAAAAACAAAAGTAAAAACCAGAGAAAGGCTATTTAGACTAAAGATGAACCCATCCCCAGCTGAGAAGGTAGGAGAATAAGGTTGTTAGGAGTCAGTTTTAATCTGTTTTTCAAGCCACGTGAGAGACTCCAGGAGAGAAGTGAATGCCTTCTAGCCTTTTTCTGCCTACAGCGCAAGAACAAAACCGGTGATGCATTCTGACTAGAAAGGTCCGGGATGAGGCCCTGGCATCCACAGGTATAAGCTCCCAGGTGACTCTGATTTATATCCAGAGTTGAAAACTCCTGGCCTGGAGATTGTATCCAAGAACTACCAGAGCAAAAAATAATTTTACCCTTACATTTCTGGTTGTATGGAAGACCTTATCTGGAAAAAATTCTATAGCTGGAAATGTGCTTTAGAGGATGTGAAGCTGTAGCTCGGGGCAAGTCAGTGGATCCATGGGGGACTGGACTTCGCTGCTGGGAAGCCCCTCGGTGCTTTGGGGACGGCTTCCGCTGCAGCTTTAGTTTGCACAGAGGAGTGAGTTCCAGGTCGTGACGCACTGTGCGTAAGACACAGGAGAGAAACACAGAATGGCCTAGCAATCCCAGCTACAATATTAGCTTCCCACAGTCTACCGTGCTCAAGGCACAAAGATGAAGTCTATTTAAAGACCGTCCAGCATCAAACCTCTAGGAGTCTAGTCACCTGACTCAAGAAACGCTCATTCGCAGTTTTGAAGTTCTTTAGCCAGCTCGAAGCCTCTACAGGTTGATCAAAACGCTGCTTGTTGTAGGCCGACTGCAGGAGACCCCGGCAGTTCTTCACCCAAAGGTGAGCTAAAAAAAACAAACCAGGAAGGAAACCAGGCAGGAACTGACGGTATTCAACTCAGAACACTCTGGGCCTCTTTACGTTATGGGAAACGATGTTTGCTTCCCACAAACAGACTCGTGAGCGACAAGGGGCGAGGGACCCCGACCCCGGCATTCGCTTCCCACAAACTGACTCGTGAGCGACAAGGGGCAAGGGACCCCGACCCCGGCGTTCGCTTCCCACAAACTGACTCGTGAGCGACAAGGGGCGACCCCGGCATTCGCTTCCCACAAACTGACTCGTGAGCGACAAGGGGCAAGGGACCCCGACCCCGGCGTTCGCTTCCCACAAACTGACTCGTGAGCGACAAGGGGCGAGGGACCCCGACTCCAGCGTTCACTTCCCACAAACTGACTCGTGAGCGACAAAGGGCGATGGACCCCGACCCTGACGTTCACTTCCCACAAACTGACTCGTGAGCGACAAGGGGCGAGGGACCCCGACCCCGACATTCGCTTCCCACAAACTGACTCGTGAGCGACAAGGGGCGAGGGACCCCGACCCCGACGTTTGCTTCCCACAAACTGACTGAGTGACAAGGGGCGAGGGACCCCGAGCCCCAACCCTGCACTTGGAAATCTGCATATGACTTTTGTCTCCCCCAATGAACTGCTAGCCTACTGCTGACCTTCTAGAAGCCTTACTGATAGCAGAGTTGATGAGATCTATGTACGCCCCACTGTATTCTTCCAGCAGAGCAAGCTAGAGGAAAGACGATGTGACTCAGAAGATCATATGGATGAGAGAATACATTTACGGCGCGCTGTTCACTGGAAGACTTTTGCATGGAAGAGGACAGGCACAGTTTAAATCGTTCAAGAGCCAACTATGACTGCCTTCAGCTCAGGTCATGATCCTGGAGTCCCGGGATCAAGTCCCACATCGGGCCCCCTGCTCAGCGGGGAATCTGCTTCTCCTTCTCACCCTCCTCCATCTCATGCTCTCTGTCTCTCATTCTCTCTCTCAAATAAATAAATAAAATCTTTAAAAAAAAAAAAAAGTCATTTTAAGATTTTGTTTATTCATTTGACGGAGAGAGACACAGCGAGAGCAGGAACACAAGCAGGGGGAGTGGGAGAGGGAGAAGCAGGCTTCCCGCCGAGCAGGGAGCCCGATGTGGGGCTCGATCCCAGGACCCTGGGACCGTGACCTGAGCCGAAGGCAGATGCTTAACGACTGAGCCACCCAGGCGCCCCGCAACTATGTATTTCTTAAAGCCTTCTTGCTTCAGAGGTTTATGTGTCTGTCTGGTCCATCTGAGGTTACACACCATGGTTACCATCCGTATCCAAGGCATACCACATGGGTTGAAGGTCACTTTAGCTTTCTTGCAGTTTTTATTTTTAATTTTTTAAAGGATTTTATTTGTGTGAGAGAGAGCGCGACCAGGGGCAGGGGGAGAGGGAGAAGCAGGCTCCCCGCTGAGCAGGGAGACCAACGTGGGGCTCGATGCCAAGATCCTGAGATCATGACCTGAGCCGAAGGCAGACACTTAACGAATGAGTCATCCAGGCGCCCCTTCCTGGCAGTTTTTAAAGAGAGTCAGAAAAGGTGGATGCCCATGACGCTGAACGCAACGGGGAGGGCTACATGTGCAGCATAAGGCTTTAAGTGTGTAAGATCCATGCTGACAAGTCTAGAATGCTGATAAACAGTGCCACGTCAGAGGCCCCCTAGGGACTCAAAACTGCTGACCGATGGCAGTAAAGGCTGTGCTAACCTCTAAGGTGGGAGTTCAAGCTCTGGGGGTTTCATCCAAGTGAGGGCTGCTGGGCCAAAACACTTTTTTTTTTAAAGGTTTATATGAGAGAGCGAGCACGCGAGCACACACGCAGGCGCAAGTGTGGGAGAGAGGGACAGAGCGCATCTCAAGCAGAGCCCTGGCTGAGTGCGGAGCCCAACACGGGGCTCGACCCCACGACCCTGAGATCACGACCGGAGCCAAAACCAAGAGTCGGCGGCTCAAGCGCCGGAGCCACCTGGCGCCTCCCAAATCCTTCAATCTTATTATCAAAAGGCTCTCGGAAGCTTTCCGCTGCACTTCTCTTGTTGCGCTTGCTGACATCACATGCAGCCGGCTTGTGACTACTGTGAAGTCAGGATGGGCGAGCTCCGCCCGGCCATTCCCGGGCTGCAGCCCGATGCCCAGGCCGCAACAGTGAGGAGAGGGCCTTCTTACCATCTGGAATGTGCAGAATCAGCCAGTCCTGTTTTGCACAGAAATGAATAACATGGCAAAGACTGAGGGTTTTTCCTGTCCCCGTCTCCCCATCTAAAGCACCTATGGTTAAAGAAAACATCACCAAAAGGGACACCTGGTCTATCAGCAAATGGCTCCTTCCCCCCTCCTCTTTCCCCTCAGTGGTCAGGACGGCTCCGGCAGGCAGCAAAGGATACAGAGAACATACCGCACGGCTGGGTGAGCAAAATTGGTGTTTTTCAGGTAACATAGAAGCTCTAGGGCTGGCTTCCTCACCATCAGGCAAGCTTCGTTGAATGTCCTCACCTGACAAAATAAGGAAGGAGGGCGGGGTGGGGTGTGGGGCACTGAGCCTAATACGGCGACCAGAGCGCCGGACTGCGCACTAAGGAGAGGCTGGGCTAGTACTGAACTGGAAAATCTATCCACAGAATTCAGCTAGAACACCAAGTAACACAATAGGCACCTTCTGATGATTTCTGTTAATGAAGCCGAGATATATTCTATCAGTAAACTGAAATCTACAAATAAGCGATAGCCATTTTGTCACATAGCTAATAATCCATTTAGGATTACCATCTTAAAAGAATGTAAAATGTTTAAGTATCTGATACATAGTAAATACTGAATAAATGTTAATTCTTTTAAATCTATTTTTAGCTCATTCTTCTAAGTATCTGGACTTTTCTCTAGAAACACATACATGGCAGCTCAGGAGCAGGTGTGACTGGGGGCCCCACAGCCCGGGGGCCACACCGGACGCCAGAGAACTGACACACAAGGTTCAATCCCTTTTTGTCACCAGGAATACTTTGGTGGAAAAATCTGGAAAGCACTGATACATGTGACGGTAATTTGCAAATAAAGGATTTAATGATGTCTTTTAATAAGAACAAATACCTAACAAGTACTATTCACAAATAGATAAGGATTAAAATAGTGTTGGTATTTTCTTTTTTAACGATTTATTTGACAGAGTGCACAAGCACAAGGGGGGGTAGGGGGGGGAACCCAAGCGGACTCCCTGCTGAGCACGGAGCCCGACCTGGGGCTCGATCCCACGACCCTGAGATCATGACCTGAGCCGAAACCAAGAATTGCAGTCTCAACTGACTGAGCCAGCCAGGCACCCCGATAGCGTTGGAATTTTTACAGAAATCCTAACCGCACAACTGGATTGGAGAAGGACTTGACAGGCAAGTTCAAACTTAATGGAAAGTGAAACCTTCGAAAACATGATACAGATATTAAAACAGAAATGCCATATTAGGCAATATGACAGTGCTAAAATACACAAACAATGGGGAGGGAGTTGGCCTTCACGTAAATGGAAAGAATGTATGAGTAATACCCTCCAAAGCCCTGGTGGCCAGGCCAGTCTGAAAGCAACTGGAGATGGTTACAGTGCAGAAGCTAGAAGCTGCGCTGCAGACGCCAGTGGTCTAAGCACCATTACACGTGACTTCTTCTGGTTGCATCCTATTTCCAAATTTAAGCACCCCCCACCCCAATTTAACAGTTTTGATGACAAGGCTATCCATGTCTACAGTTAGCTCCCTTACTGGTGTCTCATCTAATTTCTTGAAATAAAGAATCTGGAAGGAGTGCGATCCTCTGGCTCTGAAGCTAAAAATCACCTGCATGGTCCAGTTTGCTATTTCAGTGAGAAGGAACCATCTCTGAGGCTGACAGGAATTCAGCGGGAGTGAGTCAAGAGAACCAATTATGCCAACAACCATGCTTGCAGTTGATCCTGAATTCTTTCAACAGCTATAAAGCGACCCAAGATTAGAGGTTTGGGTTGAAGTTATAGCCACAAAACTACATTTTCTGAAAATCCATGAGAATGAGGAACAATAATGCATCTAAATCCAAATATCACTTCTATTTGGCTCAGGAATAGATCATGATTTTGTTTTTTCTACAGCATGCTAATTATTTTCATGGTATTTTACTAAGGCAAATATTAAATTCATTATAAACAATTATTTGAATGCCAAAGTTTCTAGAAATCTGTCAGGTAGATAACAAGGAAAATAGCAGGATACTATTTATCTAAGAATATTTTGCCTGCCTTCAATGGTGAGCCACAAATACACACTGACTTAAAGTAATTACAGGAACAGCACTATTTACAAAAGATAATCAATAGCCAAATTCGTCTGTTTTAGATTGAAATTTCATCTGTTAGAGTTTCATACTCATTTAATCCCACCCTCTGCCTGCAACAGCGTGTGTCCCGAGCTCCCTGGGATCCCGTCCGGTTTGGAGCACCTGCATGCCGAAGCGTGGAGGCAGGCCGTGGGGGAAGACCGTCCTGAGGTCCTGCAGGGGGATGCGGTAGTGCCGGCCCTCATGCTGCTCCCCGTGCCTGGCCTGGGAAACAAAAGACGCCGACAGCTACAAGAGGGCCACAAAGGGACAGGTACTTTTACAAAAGTGGAAAGGGCCTGCGAGACCGTATTAAGGACTGACTGGAATCTCTCAGTGCTGGAAAAGATGTCTTTCATTTCTTATCTTAGGCAAAAAATGCCGGTGGTTGTCCTCAAATCCACAGTGTGTCTATAAAGCGGCTGTTGGCTCCATGACGAAGCCAGTTGCTCGGCAACGTAAACCTGCATGTGGAGGTAACAGAGACAGTTCCTGCCATCTGGATTCTTCTGCGCTGTGTATGGAGATGCTCCGGTCATGTGACAAGATCATCTGCACACCACTGTTTCCATAGAAACCCCAGAGGAACTGGCCAAAAACGGACTAGGATTTCAAGGAAAGCTGAAAGACACTTCAGTGACTTCCCTCATTCAATTTGGTTTATGCTTCTGAAAGTAGGTGAGTGCCAGAGACATCACGACCCCCCTACTCTCTCTGGAGCTGGTGTCCTGGGTACTCAGTTCCGGCCTCCCTTCGGCGTGCACAGTGCAGGTGAAGGCGAGGCAGGTGCAAGAAGGGAGAGGGAGGTGACTGGCTCCCTTCACGTTGATGCCCAGACCACACGACTACTGTCACAGAGGAGAGGCCACCACCGTGCTGGGGAAGGAGCAAATGCAACACTGGATGCTACCAGAACCCTGGCTTCTGCTGACAAACCTCACTTTCAGTGCTGTTCTTCTCACCAAATCAGGTTTGTTCCCCTCCACACACTAGGAAACCCACCTAGAAAGGTGGGAAATAGCACCAGACTGGCCAACGGGAGAACTGGGTTCTCTAGCTGCCCAGCCACGCGATCCTGGGCAAGTTGATTACTTTAAGGGCTGGCTGACGACAGCTGGCTACCCATTTTTGTAAATAAGCTTTTATTTGTCTTATATATTTACTTATTTTACTTATAATTATTTATGTAGTAATTACTGTTTTGTGAAGCCCCACCCACTTGTTTATGGTAGAGCTAAGCAGCTGTGACAGAGACCACTTTGGCTCCTAAACCTAAAATACTGACTATCTCGTCTGTAAGGAGAAAAGTCTGCCAACCCACCCTACAGTAAGATCAGTAACTACCACACGTAACTTCTAAGGAATTGACCCGCTTTGTGCCCGACGAAGTCCTGGGCACGAGTGGCCTTCAGTGGCAGGGGTTAAATCCGGTGTGGACTGGCCTGTCTGAGGTTTTTGTTCCCACAGCCTCGGACAGGGAGGAGGCTGATGTGGACTCCAGAACACTGTCTTGGGTGCAATGTCTGACTACAGGCAGATCTGCTTCGCTTCTCTGGGTTTCAGTTTTCCTGATATGTAAAATGATAGCAACACAAATTATAAGACCTACAAAAACATCTACATACATACTAGCAACTCACCGGGTCATCCTCACTGGTGCAGGAAGTGGCTCTGGGGCTCTCATCTGGAACCTGGTTATCCAGGTGAGCAGCAAGGCTTTGGGGGGCCTGGGGCTCCCCGTGCAAAAAACGTCCAGGGTCCAACTATAAAAGAAATCATTTTCATGTTTTGGAATGAGCAGGCTTTTTTTTTTTTTAAAGATTTATTTAGGGACGCCTGGGTAGCTCAGTTGGTTGAGCATCTGCCTTTGGCTCAGGTCATGATCTTAGGGTCCTGGGGTCAAGCCCTGCATGGGGTTCCTTGCTTGGTGGGGATTCTGTTTCTCCATCTCTCTCTGTCCCTCCTCCCTGCTTGTGCTCTCTCTCAAATAAATAAATAAAATGTTTATTTATTTGACAGAGAGCATGATGAGCAGAGGGGAAGAGGCAGAAGCAGGTTCCCCGCTGAGCAGGCAGCCTGATGTGGAACTCGATTCCAGGACCCTGGGATCACGACCTGAGCCGAAGGCAGATGCTTAACAACTGAGCCACCCAGGCGCCCCTGCAATTAGCAGGCTTTTTATGCCTGCTACAAAACTGAGGTTTTAAGCCCCATCTACAACAGGGAAACTGTCACTAATACACAGTTCAGTGTTATGTCCAAGGAACCCTTATTTTTACAATTCTCTACGTCCAATCACATTGTCCATCTTCTGAATCTGCCACAGCCTGCCTGCCTCTGGCCGAGCTCTGTCCCACACGGAAGCAAAGCCATCTGCTAGAGAAGGTTCAGGGGCCGGGCACGGCCACCGGCAGCCTGGAGCGGGCTGCGTCCTCCTGTGCTCCAGCCCATGGCCGTGGACGGCAGCCAGACAGTCATCACAGCCACCTCTGTCCTCACGGGGCCCGTGCAGATATTTGACAGAAATCATGACATGCCCGCAACCCTTTTCTTGCTGGCTGTGCCCTGGAATAAGACTCTCTGATTAAGGACGGCAAATGAGGGAGCCTCCGGCTAAGTGAGAGAAACTGCTCGACTGGCAGCTCACTAAGCTGCACACTGGAACCCGGAACTGAGTGGTCGGGGTATAGGATTTCAGGAGACAAGGCTGAGAAAATGCTACCTGGAGAACTGCCCCCCCCCCCCAAAACTGAGCTGAAGGATAGAGGCCTCATGTAGAAAGGAGAAGATAGCAGCACTGTATGGCTGGGAAACAGTTTACAAAGAACTAGAAAGGCAGGTGAAGTCAGCACCATGGCCTTGATTCTCATGCTGAGTCTCTGAGACCTACCTTGACGGTAGCTGGGAATCAGCCATGCTTTTTCTTTTTATATTATTTATCTATTTTAAGTCATCCTTACAACCCAATGTGGGTCTATAACCCACGACCCCGAGATCAAGAGTCACACACTCTCCCGAATGAGCCAGCCTGGTGCCCTTCAGCCACGCTTTCTGATTAGCTGGGGTTAAACATTCTATTAGGGAGGACAAATCTTTTGGACTAGGAAAGATGAAGAGTAAATGAGAGCCCGGGGTCTGGGGCGTCAGCGCAGGAGTCTGAACGCAATGCCCCAGAGCTGCTCTGTTTGCTCCATTCTACCAGAGACAAAGCATCAGGTCTTTACAAAAAAAAGTAGCAGATAAAAAATTAAAGATATTCAAGGGCCACAAGGTGGTGGTATTTCTACACAAATCCTGTTTTTTTTTTGTTTTGTTGTTTTTAGTTAAATGCTTTTTGCAGCAAATTAAGACCTAGCAAAATGGATTCCTTACTTCTTACAATGTTATATACGGCACCACCCAGATAGTCTCGTGTTTCCGGGGAAAACAACCATGTGTACCATCGGCTCTGCATAGCTCTGGAATGAAAACCAGGCAGTTCCCGAAAGAACAGCAGTCGTGACCCCATCAAGGTTACTTTAAATCAATCTACAAAAAGCACAAAATTCTTCCCACTGACTCCTCGCTGCAGTTTGGACTCAGGTCGTTCCCGTCTGCCATTAAGAACAGATTTTAGCCTTTTAATGGAAATAGTTGAGGCCCCAATCTATCCCTCTGTTGATCCTAGTTTTTTCATTTTATTTCTTAACCATGGGTTATTTTACCTCTACAAGTTTTATCATGAACCCCTGGGAAAAAGAGGGAGTCCTACTGAAGGAAGGGGTCCTCCTCTAGGCAGTCTAATCTGTCCCAAAAGGATGAGATGGAAGTGACGAGTACTGCCGGGGGTCTCGCCTTTCGGGATCGAGTCTGGGGGTGCTCTCTGCAGGCCCTGTGAGCCCAGGGTACCCGCGGCTGTAACAGCACGGACTCTGCTACTGGCTTCTGACGTCCTGGACAACAAGGACCACAAAAGGCTACAAAGCACAGCGCTCAGGGCCACAGGTTTTGCAGTGAGACAGCCTGGGCTCCACAAACCTCAGAATGTTCCTGCAGGCAATTTACTTAGCCTTGCTAATCCTCAGTTTCTGTACCTGTGAAACAAAGGTATTTCCTACTTGCTGGGCTGGACATGAAGATTCAAAGAGATAAAGCACTTCGCGATGTGCCTGGCACCTAATAAAGCCCAACAAATCATAACCATTAATGTGAAATGAGTCATCTTAGAATCCAGAGTACCCGTCCCATGGAAGGTACTGAGAAAATATCTGCTCAATGAATGAAGTAAAGCAACACAAGGTCCTTTTTATACATGATTTTACTATTTTATTCAACTATCAAATGCTAAAAGTCTAAAGAAGCCACTTCTTTTTCTTTTAAATAGTTCATTAAGGGAGGATAACCATTAATGCAATTAGATAATAATAAAGGTTAATAAAGATAACTGCAATCAAGCTTATTTAGCTATTTCTTTTTTATTTTTTAAAGATTTTATTTTATTTATTTTTTTAAAGATTTTATTTATTTATTTGACAGAGAGAGAGACAGGGAGACAGGGAACACAAGCAGGGGGAGTGGGAGAGGGAGAAGCAGGCTTCCCGCAGAGCAGGGAGCCCGACGTGGGGCTCGATCCCAGGACCCTGGAATCATGACCTGAGCCGAAGGCAGACGCTTAACAACTGAGCCACCCAGGTGCCCCTTTATTTATTTATTTGAGAGAAAGAGAGCCTGAGAGGGGGGAGGGTCAGAGGGACAAGCAGAAGCAGACTCCCTGCTGAGCAGGGAGCCTGATGAGGGACTCGATCCTGCGACTCCAGGATCATGACCTGAGCTGAAGGTAGTCACTTAACCAACTGAGCCACCCAGACGTCCCTAGCTATTTCTTTTTTAAATGTTAATTTTCCAATGACGGTACATCCCCAAACCCCATTACTGTACTGAGGGTTGTGACTCACAGACTTTTAGGGCAGAGGGATGGAGCTGTGGTGTCCTCTCAAGTAAAATGAAATTAAAAGCACTCGGCAGCAGAGGTTCTCCAGAGCACACTATTCTGGATACGGTGAATCATCTAGAAACAAGAATTCTACCTAAAGACAGTCTGCACAAAGCTGTGAGGTCAGCCAGGACTCACCTGCTGGGCCCTGGAGACAAGCCTTGTCATCCTTTTCAGCATCGTGGCTATGATCTCAAGCCAAGTGAAGAGGTAAGCCGCAACCAGGCAATGGATTGGCACGATGGACTCCTATCTAGAGTACAAACAGAAAGCCTATAAATTGACCGAAACAGAAAACAAAACAAAAGAGCAGAAAACACAAGTAAGACATTTCATAGAACAGGAAACAAATGGCTAGTAAACCCATGAAAAAATTTTCATCCTCATTACAAGTCAGGGAACTGGTAAGACACCATTCAGCCTCGGTGTTGGGAAAAATGAGAAAGACAACAGGAAATGTGCCGGAGGCCATGCAGCATGGGGGGGCACTGTTGGGAGGGCACTGTCTGGGGGACAGATGGGGGGACATGATTGGGGGGTCACTGATGAGACACTGTTGGGGGGACACTGTCGGGGGGGAGGCACTGTCCGGGGGTGGGGGTACAATCATCTTGGAAAACACATCTGGCATTATCTTGCAAAGTTGAAAATGTACAGGTCTATGACCCATGTATTCTACTCCTTGGTATTTATTCCAGAAAAACACATGTGCACTGGGAAATATGTATAACACTGTTGACTGTAGAGTATGACTAATCAAAAACTGTAAAAAGCCCAGATACCCATTGACAGACGACTGCATAAACAGATACGGTCATACAGTGAAACACCACACTGCAAATAAAAGAATCGACTGCAGTTACATGCAGGACATTGATGAATCTCGATGACTAATACTGTGTGAGAACTATTGTATACAACATAATTTATGTAAAATTCAGAAGTGTAAAACCTAATTCATTCACTGGGGGATAGACATACATGTAATAAAACCGAAAGAGAAAAGCAGAAGGATAGCACGTGGAGAATGGGGCTTCCTCTCGGGAGGAGGTGGGCCAGGGCACACAGCGAGACTGGGAATGCGTTATTTTTAACGCTGGGTAATGGGTACAGGAGTTTTAGTTTACTAATTTTATATTATGTGTGTTATACATATTCATTTGTATGTTGAAAATATTTCATAAAAAACACCCTAATCTGGGGGCACCTGGGTGGTTCAGATGGTTAAGCGTCTGCCTTCAGCTCAGGTCATGATCTCTCAGGGTCCTGGGATCGAGCCCCCACATCGGCCTCCCTGCTCAGCGGGGAGCCTCCTTCTCCCACTGCCTCTGCCTCTCCCCCTGCTCATGCTCTCTCTCTCCCTATCTCTGTGTCTCAAATAAATAAATAAAATCTAAAAAAAAGTTAAAAAAAAACACAACCCTAATCTCTTGAGAGCTAAAAGATGTTTAAAATACTTAAATGCAACTCTCAATATCCAGTAGTGATAACATGCCTAAATCTAATCTCCAGGTAATTATTGCTTCATTTTGGCTCATCATTTTCACCTCTCTTCCACCCCAAATCTTTGGTCGGCAGCAGCATTTATTCGGCTGTTACTGAGCACACGCTGCGTCGGGCCCTGTGAGTAAGCGGGTGAACAAAGCTGCGACGGTCTCTGACCCAGGGCTCTTACCAGTAGTCAAGAGAAGACACAAAGTGCTTTGAATTCCATCTCCCGTTTAGTTTCCAAGTCTACTTCTCAATGAAGATGCCAATGCATTCCTTAATTCAGGCATTCAAGGCATGTGCTTCCACGGAACATGCAGCGGTCACCCAGCCTGACCTGCCCCGTCCCCCCTGTGGCATTCCAGGGCTGCTGTGCCGTGTGGGAGGACCCCAGGCCACCAGCAGCAGTCCCCAGCATGAGTTGGGGGGAGGGCTAACTGGGCATAAAATGCACCACTGCTCTATGGCTGAGAAATTTGAGAAATGCTGAGCAGCTATTTATTTCTTGAAGACAACACATATTAGCATAAAGTCTTTGAAAAAACTAAAGTTACTTCATTTTAACCCAAATTCTCTTGGTCTTTGAATCCTTGAACTTCACTGTTGCAAAATACTCTTCTCATTCTCCTGGATGCTAGTGGAGTTAAGGAGGTGGCTGTGAGCACAGGCCTAGGCCCGGGGATGAAGTCCTGTTAGCCCACAGGCAGAGGGGCGGTCCCCTGTGTTCCCTGCGCGCTATCTGCTCTCCTTAACTCTGCCCTGCACCTTCTCCACTGCTGTGCCACTCAGCCCGCCAGCACCACCGGCCGCCAGCCAGGACCGCAGAGCTGAAGGGCAGGCAGGGGACTGCTGTCCTCAGCAAGGTCTGCTCGCCCGCTGCTCGCCCGCGGCTCTCAGAGCAGCTGTCTGGGCACCTGGACTTCTGGAGAGTTCCCAACAGCCCTAGAATGGGGGAGAGTGGGTCACTGGGCCTGAACTATTTACACACACAGCATGGCTTAGGCTGAACACCTGCTTTCCCTTCTCAGAGTCGGGCATTTCAGTACCCGCCAGGCCAATGATCACTACCTGACCAGTGCCCAACCCCAGGCACTTAGACTCCCTGGAAACTGAGTTTCACTGGCCGGCACCATTTCACGCGTGTTGTCACAATTTGCTGCTGACGTCATTGTGTCCTGTGGGATTCTGGTGGGAAAGGACTCTTGAAGCTTATACCTGCTTTCCTCCACTCTGCCCGATGTGCCTTGCCCTTTGCTGACCAGGCACCGTCCCCTTTCCCTGTAATAAATCACAGCGGTAAGTATGACTATGTGCTGATTTCCAAGTCCTCCTAGGCCATCAGATGGTGGGAGTGGTCTTGGCAACTGATGACACCAACACCCGGTGTCCAACACCACCCAACATCCATCGCCGCCTGGTACCCAATACCACCTGACACTGACCATCACCTGGCGCCCAAAACCACCCAATGCCCATCTCCAACCAGTTCAATTTTCTTCATCTCGGCTCTTCTCAATCCTCCCCTACTTAAACCACCTCAGCTCCCTGCCCCCAGCACTGTCTTCCCCCATCCACGACAGCTAACTGCCAACGGCAATTCTAACCCTCCACATCAGCTCATCTCCAACCCCGAGCGCTCCACTCAACCTCAACTTTCTCTACTCCAAAACTACTTATGACCTGATGTGACTCCAACAATGTCTGGCCCGCCCAACCCTGCTTCCCCAGTCTTCCCAATGCATTCCAATACAGACAGCCGTGGGCTGTATCTTTGAAGGGGGGGATGGGTCCTGGACAGAAAAAAGCAGATGACAGGGTCCTGAGGTCAATTCTTCCCATAGGTGTGCCTGTGGTCATTGGGGCCATTATTCTGGCCATGTTTTAGATATTATGGGAAATGCTGGTCAGGAAAGTGTGATCAGCTCTCTATCCCAGGACACTACCATCTTGTATCCATATTACAACAATTAGTCTACCAGCTTCTAGCCATGAATTTCTCCATCCATTCTTTCCACTAAAGTCTTGCTTAAAATCCTTCAATATTTCCCCGTGGCTTTTTAAAGGTAAAGGCTACACACACACAAATAATAGAAGTTACTTTAGGGGTGCCTGGGTGGCACAGTTGGCTGAGCGTCTGACTCTGAGTTTTGGCTCATGTCGTGATCTCATGGTGGTGAGATCGAGCCCCATGTCTGCTTTAGAGTCTCTTCCTGTCCCTCTGCCCCTCCTGCTTATGAACATGCTTGCATGCTCTCTCTCTATCAAATAAATAAATAAATATTTAAAAAGTGGAAATTATTTTAAAAACAAGGGAGTTAGGTGGGGAATCTTAAAAGTTTGATCTCAAATCAAACAACCTGGACTAAACCATGTTTTCCTTGTCCTTTAAAATACCCGTTTGCAGAATAAATCTTGACAGGCCAGATGTAAGCAGAAGAGAGGAATATTTGCTGATTCCACTTTTTAGGGCATATACAAATCAGGGCAGTGCAAGATAAAGGCTCACAGCCACCAGTACTAATTTCTCCTTTCAGGTTTTCCACGTCCTTTGCAGGAGCACAGATTAGACTGGCTTATTACTGGAAGGTAGGTATGGGGACAGAGTTCCTGTGAGAACAGACTGATGGCACAAGATGAAAAGAATTATGGGGATGAACGGTGGTAACAGCTGCACAATAATGTGGATGTGACCTCATGGAATTGCACACTTAAAAATTATGGTAAATTTCACGTTCTGCATATTTTACCACAACAGAACAAATGACTGATGGTAAAATCAAAGATAAATCAAAGATAGATTGTCCACCTCTCTTCCAAGACAGAAGAGTCCTCTCTCCGATCCCATGCTTTGTTTTAAATGGGTATAAAACAAACAAATCCCAGAGACGAGTCATTTCCTTAGTCTTTAAGCCATATGAAGATCTGCCAGGGGCACCTGGAAGGGATACTTGCTCACCACTGTATTTGAAGTTTTGCCACTACTCTAATGAAAGTTAGAGTCCTCTTTCTAAAATAAAAGTCTTCTCACATAGGAAGCGCAAATGCATACTGGGACGGAAATCAGAAAAGGCCCATACCAAATCTAGAAAGGTATCCCAAAGACTATATGCTAAGATTAAGACTTCAGGGATCACAAAAATCAGTTTGTTTTTCGAATTTAACTTGTACTGGAGGTCACTGTAGAGCCACCTGCAGTTCAAAGAAAAACTCTGCGCCCCTTCCCCAGGGCATCCCCGGTGGTCCCAGGATGCGCTGCGACCGCACGCCCAGACGCAGACACCCACGTCCGCAGAGCTCATGTGCAGGGCATTTCCATCACCTCAAGCATCTCAAGGGTCCCTCATGTTGTCCTTTCCGAGTCTCCCCCACTTCCCTCCCCCTCCTTAGCCCCTGACAACCACTCATCTGTTCTCCATTGCTGTGATTTTGTCATTTCAAGGATGTTACATGAATGAAATCGCACGGTATGCTGTCCATCAGCAAGGGCCTGAACATGTCCAGTCAGGGGGAACTCAAACACAGGCCACATGGTTTTCAGACAGCTTTTCTGGAAAATTCTTTCACCGTCTGAGCTGAAATGTCTCCCTGCAGCTTCCGTTCACTGTCCCAGAGTCCTTCTCCTGGGTTTTACAAGCCATTTTCCACATGATGAACTGAAGGTAGTTATGTGCTCAGTTTTTTCCTTTCCTGGCTAAATGCCTACAGTTTTTTAAAGCAATCATTACACAATACAAGTCCCTTCCCCACATAACTTATCAATACTCT